TCTGGCTACCGATGAGGTTGGCATGGGGGTCAGAGGCGCCAGGCGGGGCCCTCGGCCTACGCCCAGGCTGAGGGCGCGGGCTGTGAGGGTCTCTGTCCCATCAGCGGTGTTCCTGTTTGGGTGCCTGGCGGGCTGCACCAGGCCCCCTCCTCACGGCAGCGCTGAGAGAGGCGCCATGTTGTCCCCCATCTTCCCGCCGAGGACCTGGGGTCTCCAGGTGGGCTGTGCGCTGCCCCCCGGGAGGCTCGGTGTGGGGACCGCCTGGCCGGTCTGCCTACACCGGCGGGCGACCCCGTTCTGGGCCGGGAGCACTGGGCACACGGTCCCCTCCTCGTGGGTGCCCCCCCCCCCGACCAGCCCTCCGGGGCCCCAGAGCCCAGGAGACCACCCACCGCCTCTGTCCGGGGTCACCGGGGGAGGGTCCAGCCCCGACCTTCAGGGCCACTGCCCACCAGGCCCTGGGCCGCCCGTCCCTGCTCAGGGCCCGGCTCGGAGACCAGGGCTGCCAGGCTTCGGTGCGCACCGGCGGCAGAGCCAGGCGGGGACCGGACCGGCAGAGGCGGCGAGGTTGGGAAGCGGGTCTTCTCCCCCGGGGCCTCGGGGCGCTAAGTGCTCAGCTCATTCCGGAACCTGTGGCCGCCGTGGCCTTCCCGGACGGTCCATTAGCAGCGGGCCAGTCGGTGCCCGGAGGCCGCTCGCCAGCCCGCCGGCTCCATTAGCACCACCGCCCGGCCGGCCATCTGCACCGGCTCCTCTCACAGCAGAGAGCCGTCCGCCCGGAGGCTCCGGAGCCGCCGCCAGGGACCTGGGGGGCCCCGGGGGGCAGCACCACGGGGCCGAGGCAGACACGCCCGTTCCGCCACCGGCAGCCGGGATGGCTCCTGCTCCGCGGGGACCCCGGCGGCCGGGCATGGCTCCTGCTCCGCGGGGACCTGGACAGACAAGGCTTTTCTGTGCTTCGTCCCGTTTCCGCGGCCGTGCTGCCCCGGAACAGACAGCAGCCGGCCCGAGCGCCCGGCCTTCCTCTCCAGGAGGCCCGTGGGCGCTCTCGCCACCTGGCGTGGGGGTGGCCTGGGCTCCGAGAGGCAGCCGGAGCCTCTGGGAGCCCAGGGAGGTCCCGTCAGGGTTCCGGGGACATGCCCTGTGGCCGCCCGCCCGCGGGAACCGCCCAGCGGCTGCACCCCGCCCGGCGGCCCTGCCCTCACTAGCTGCCCGCTCGCCTGGCAGTTTTATTCCCATCACGTCCCTGCGGCACCTGGCCCTGCCGGCCAGTGAGTCCCCGTGGGCGTGTCCCCACAGGAGGCCCCGCGGAGGGAGGCTCCTCGCGCGGTTCAGGCAACACGAGCCGCAGCGCCCAGCGAGTCAGAGGGAGATGGTGCGTGCGGTGTGTGTGCGTGCACGTGTGTGAGACCATGGGATGTGTGTGCATGAGTGTGAGACCGTGGGTGTGTGTAAGACCGTGGAATGTGTGCGGGTGTGTGAGACCCTGAGATTCTTTAAGGCCATTTATTTGCCTGCACGGCCTTTAAAAAGCCCAATTAGGGCCCTAACCTGTGTGGCTCAGTGGATAGAGCGTCAGCCTGCGGACTGAAGGGTCCCAGGTTCGATTCCGGTCAAGGGCATGTACCTTGGTTGCGGGCACATCCTCAGTAGGGGGTGTGCAGGAGGCAGCTGGTCGATGACTCTCTCTCATCGATGTTTCTAGTTCCCTGTCCCTCTCCCTTCCTCTCTGTGAAAAATCAATAAAATGTATTTAAAAAACTAAAATAAAAAGCCCATTAGAGCTCCAGCCGTGCTGTGAGGCCGCCTGCCATGCTGTGAGGCGGACCGCTGGGCGGCCCTGAGCTGCCCCCCCCCCCCGCCTCAGTCTCAGGAGAGGACGTGGGTGGCCTCTGCACCCCTCCAGCTGGGCGCAGCCGGGGCTCCGTGGGAGGAACCCCGAGCCTCCCAGGGAGAGCCCCCCACCCAGGAAGCGGGCGGCCGTCGGAGGCCCTCCCAGGGCCCGGGCCGGCTCTGCTGATGCACAGACAGCACAGCCGGAAGGAGACCCGCGGCCTTGGGAGGGGGAGGAGGGGTCGGTGCCGTCCGCCAGCACTCGCCCCGTCTGCGACGTCGTGTCACAGAGGGCGCACTACCGGCCGCCATCCAGGCAGTGCCAACCCTCTGTGGCACGCCGTCGGACCAGGACATGGCCGAACGGCCTCTCACGTGTGTTGTGTTTGCCTCTGCCCCCAGGACAGCCATGGGAAGCTGAGCGATGTGACACAGGTGGGCCACGAACCCCGAATCTGGTGCCCAGTTTGGCCTGAGGCCCACCCTGCAGGGAGCACTGGCCTGGAGTCCCCATGCTGCCCATCAGCCTGCAGGCACAGAGGCCCCGCCCTCCTGCCTCACCGCTGGCCAATCACATAGGACAGCAGTTAGCCCCACCCTCCCTGTCTCACTGCTGGCCAATCACAGGAGATAGCAGTAAGCCCCGCCCTCCATGCCTCACCTGGCCAATCACATGGGGCAGCAGTCAGCCCCACCCTCCCTGCCTTCTGGACCCAAATGACAGTCCTAGTCTCATGCCCCCAAAATATCAGAACCCCAAAGGCCCGGCCCGGGACCAGCGTGGGGGCGCCCTGGGGGGGACGGCCGGGTGCACAGGGCCTGTCCGTCACAGCGGGTGGCCTGGAGGGTCTCTGTCCAGCCCGGGGCGTCCTCCTGCCCAGCAGACCCCATGTCCCCGCTCCCGGTCCTGGCCTCCACGTGCGGCTCCTCCCCAGGACCTCGGAGCTGCTGGGAGCTGCGCACCAGGGGCCACGCGCTGAGCGGCTGGCACACCATCTTCCTGCCTGACTGCCGGCCGCTGGCCGTGCTGTGCGACATGGACACGGACGGCGGGGGCTGGACCGTGAGTGCCGGCGTGGGGGGACGGCTGTGCGGGCGGCCGCCGGCTCCCCGGGGGAACCGCACCGGGGCCCTGGTCACACTGTCCACCCCGGTGTCTGGGCTGCCCCTCTCCCAGGGGCCGGAGAGGACCGACGGGTGGTGAGCCCAGGCCGTGGGGCCCGGCCCGAGGGCGCCCCGTCCCTCCAGGTGGGGCCCGGCCTGTGGCGCCCTCTCTGAGCTGCCAGGTCCTCCCTGGCCCACGGGGGCGCCGGCCGCGCAGCAACACACACGCAGTCTCTGCAGCCTGACGCGTGGCCGTGGTCCCGAGGCTCCAAGCCGGCCGAGCGCTAAGCCCTTAGAGGCCAAGGCGGGGCTCCCCGGACTGGACGCTGCAGGCTCCTTCCCGATGCTCCACGAGAACGTGTCCCTGTTCCTGTGGCTGATCCTCACCCAGGGCATGCCCCACTGCGGGTCACAGAGAGGGGAAGGGGAGAGGCCGGGGAGACCGACAGAGACACCTGGATTGGTTGTCTTCCCACACCCCGCCGGGCCCCGGGATGGAGCCTGCTACCGGGGATGTGCCCTGGACCAGAATCGAACCCGTGACCCTTCAGTCAGAGGGCTGACGCTGCAACCACTGAGCCACACCGGCCTCTGGCAGTCCCTGGCCGAGGCTCCTCCCTCCGACTTCCCAGCCAGCGACACCCACCTCTGGCCGGCCCCCGGGGCCACGCCCCCTCTGAGCACAGCGTGGAAGGACTCTCCGACCCTCCCTTCCACCCCAGGCGCCATCCCCCTGGTCACCCAGGGTGGCATGGTCCCGGTGTGGGGTTCGGGCAGGAAGTCTGTGTTTTAAAGTAGGTTCAAGCCTATAAAAAGGGCCAGCGCTCAGCAAACGTGGGCAGAGTTTGGGGCCGTGGCCCAGGAATAGGGCCGCAGGGCCCTCTGTGTACGCAGCTTCCCCATCCCATTGTCCTGGGGAGAGGCTGAGGTTAGGCCTGGCCACAGCCGAGCGGGGACCCCCTCCCCCCCTTCCTCGGTGGTGGCTTCCACCTCCCTCGTAGTCACTCGCATCACTCAGTGCCTCCGACGTGGAAGGCAGCCGGGGAGGAACTGCTCTCGAGGACACACTCCCGGGACCTGGCCCGTCCCTGCTGGCGTCCGGGGTCCTGTTGTGGGCGACCCGCGAATGACGACCCCCAGCCAGCCACACTGGAATGTAGGAAGCCTTTATTACGAACTCGAGTCTGGGCTCCTGTCTCATCTGACAGAGCAGCGAGCAACGAGAGCCTCAACGAGAGCCTAAGCACGCTGCTTTTGTCCCCGTCTTAGGGATGCCTGGCAGATTATGATTGGCTAAAGTTTTAACAAAGAAACATCAGTTATAAGTTATAGAAAATTCCACTAGTGCAGTAATATTTAAAGTTTATACAACACCTGGGGTGGGGGTTTATTTTCAGCTTAAGCAGTCTCTGTTTGACCTGGTGTGGTCTGTTTGTTCTGCCTTGCGGCTACTGGAAACAGGACGTACCTGCCTGGGGGTTGAGCCTTGCAACAGAACTATTTTATGACTAACAGTTACGGTACATTCTCTGTTGTGGATCTGGTTGCTCGTTCCTTCCCTGGCCTGGAGCCCCGCCTCGACAGGGTCTTGCTGGCCATCTGGAGCCCCGCCTCCACCTGGTCTTGCCGGCCACTACAGTCCTGGACCCAGTCGCTGTGGGAGGGGCCTCTGCAGCCCCCGCTGACCCCTCCCCTGGGCCTGGCCGTAGATGGGACGGTCCTTTCTCCCTTGGGGGGTGAGCATCGTGGGGACCCGGGAAGGCTGGGGCAGGCCCCGAGGCCGGTGGTTCCCACGAGGGAGGCGGCTGCAGTGACTTCTGTCCTGGGGCGTCTGGACGGCTGCGCTGGCTCAGCCTTCCGAGGCCCAGAGAGCTGGCCTGGGACAGGTGCCTCCCAGCCCGTCGGAAACACGCGCCTCCCGTGGGCTGGCCCCCCGGCAGGGGTCAGGGGTCAGGGGCCGGGCGGGCTCTGCCTCTGCAGGAGCGCCTCGGTGCCAGGCCTGGGGACGGGGACCGGGTCAGGGGTCAGGGGGCTGGGGTCAGTGGTCGGGGGTCAGGGGCTAAGCGAGGACGCTCAGGCCTCGGCCGCCCCAGCGGGCCGCAGCTTCATCTCGGCCACCTTGTAGCTGTAGTTGTAGCCCTTCCCTGAGTGCCAGTTGATGCCGTTGGCAAAGCTACTGTGGGAACCCCCGAGGTAGCGCCCGTTCAGGTTGGACACGTGGCAGGAGTAGTACCACCAGGCGCCCTCGTACTGCTGGGCGCAGCTGGAGGAGCTGGTGTCGCTGTCCTGGTCTTTGGTGGAGAACAGGGAGCTGTTGTGGGGTGTCAGCGAGTCACCTGGGGGGGTACACAAGGTCACCAGGTCCCCCTCCCCTGCTCTGTGCCCGCCGGCTAACGGCACGGTGCCAGCAGAGGCCCCGGGGGAGGGGGCGCCATGAGCATGGGGCCGGGCACCCCTCCACCTGCTGCCACGGGGCGGGCAGGAGGCAGACCCCCGTTCCTGTGCTCTGTGCCGTGTCCGCCCGCGTCACAGCACCCACGTGGAGGCGTGGCATCCAGCACATGGGTGAGGGGCCGCCGTGGGCTAAGGCCCTGCCCAGGCCCCAGGGACACAGAGCCAGGACCCCACACAGACTGCCCACCCCACTGCCACTGCCCACCCCACTGCCACTGCCCACCCCACTGCCACTGCCCACCCACTGCCACTGCCCACCCACTGCCACTGCCCACCCCCACCCCACTGCCACTGCCCACCCCACTGCCATTGCCCACCCCAGTACCACTGCCCACCCCACTGCCATTGCCCACCCCACTGCCACTGCCCACCCCACTGCCACTGCCCACCCACTGCCACTGCCCACCCCCACCCCACTGCCACTGCCCACCCCACTGCCATTGCCCACCCCACTGCCACTGCCCACCCCACTGCCATTGCCCACCCCACTGCCACTGCCCACCCCACTGCCATTGCCCACCCCACTGCCACTGCCCACCCCACTGCCACTGCCCACCCCACTGCCATTGCCCACCCCACTGCCACTGCCCACCCCACTGCCATTGCCCACCCCACTGCCACTGCCCACCCTCACCCCCACTGCCACTGCCCACCCCCACCCCCACTGCCCACCCCCACCCCACTGCCACTGCCCACCCCACTGCCACTGCCCACCCCACCCCACTGCCACTGCCCACCCCACTGCCACTGCCCACCCCACTGCCACTGCCCACGCCACCCCACTGCCACTGCACACCCCACTGCCACTGCCCACCCCACTGCCACTGCCCACCCCCACCCCCACTGCCACTGCCCACCCCACTGCCACTGCCCGCCCCACTGCCACTGCCCGCCCCACTGCCACTGCCCGCCCCACTGCCACTGCCACTGCCCACCCCACTGCCACTGCCCACCCACTGCCACTGCCCACCCCACCCCACTGCCACTGCACACCCCACCCCCACTGCCACTGCCCACCCCACTGCCCCCCTACCGGCCTCGCGTGGCCCACACGCACCGGCGGTGCCCCCGGCGAAGGCGCCCAGGACCAGCTGGTACTTGTCGGCCGCGCTGCCCAGCCGGAAGGACTGGTACCGGGCGAAGTGGCGGGTGCCCTCGAAGTCCACCAGGTCCACGCGCAGCTCACTGGTGCCTGCGGAGGCGGTCAGTGGCAGCGGCCCCTGAGCTCCAGGACGGGGTGCCGCTCAGGGACGCGCACGTGTCACCCAGGACGTGCCCTGAGGCCCGCAGGACATCGAAGGCTGTGGGGTGGGGCACAGCTCCCCACGGTCCCTGGCCAAGGTCAGGCAGGGGGGCTGGGCCCCTCCCCCCCAGCCCAGCCGGCCTACCCTGGGCGGTCAGGGCGTGGATGTGGTCGTTGCCCAGCCAGAACTCGCCCAGCTGGCTGCCGAAGCCCCGCTGGTAGGCGGCCCAGTCCCGGTAGAAGTCCACGGAGCCGTCCACCCGGCGCTGGAACACCTGAGGGAGGGAGACGCGTGCCGCCAGCTCGGCCCGGCCGCGGCCAGACCCCGGCGGGCAGACGGGCGCCCCGTGGGCCAGGGAGGACCTGGCAGCTCAGAGAGGGCGCCACAGGCCGGGCCACACCTGGAGGGACGGGGCGCCCTCGGGCCGGGCCCCACGGCCTGGGCTCACCACCCGTCGGTCCTCTCCGGCCCCTGGGAGAGGGGCAGCCCAGACACCGGGGTGGACAGTGTGACCAGGGCCCCGGTGCGGTTCCCCCGGGGAGCCGGCGGCCGCCCGCACAGCCGTCCCCCCACGCCGGCACTCACGGTCCAGCCCCCGCCGTCCGTGTCCATGTCGCACAGCACGGCCAGCGGCCGGCAGTCGGGCATGAAGATGGTGTGCCAGCCGCTCAGCGCGTGGCCCCTGGTGCGCAGCTCCCAGCAGCTCCGAGGTCCTGGGGAGGAGCCGCACGTGGAGGCCAGGACCGGGAGCGGGGACATGGGGTCTGCTGGGCAGGAGGACGCCCCGGGCTGGACAGAGACCCTCCAGGCCACCCGCTGTGACGGACAGGCCCTGTGCACCCGGCCGTCCCCCCCAGGGCGCCCCCACGCTGGTCCCGGGCCGGGCCTTTGGGGTTCTGATATTTTGGGGGCATGAGACTAGGACTGTCATTTGGGTCCAGAAGGCAGGGAGGGTGGGGCTGACTGCTGCCCCATGTGATTGGCCAGGTGAGGCATGGAGGGCGGGGCTTACTGCTATCTCCTGTGATTGGCCAGCAGTGAGACAGGGAGGGTGGGGCTAACTGCTGTCCTATGTGATTGGCTAGCAGTGAGGCAGGAGGGCGGGGCCTCTGTGCCTGCAGGCTGATGGGCAGCATGGGGACTCCAGGCCAGTGCTCCCTGCAGGGTGGGCCCTCAGTCCAAACTGGGCACCAGATTCGGGGTTCGTGGCCCACCTGTGTCACATCGCTCAGCTTCCCATGGCTGTCCTGGGGGCAGAGGCAAACACACGTGAGAGGCGGTTCGGCCCAGCCCTGGTCCCTCAGCACCAGGAGGGGACAGAGGCCTTTTCTAGATCCTTCCATAGGAGGCTGGTCCCCCAGCAAGGCCCCTGCCTGCTCCCTGGGGTGGCGGGGGAGGGCACGCACCAGGCCTGCAGGGGGGAAGTAAGGAGCAACCAGGCCAGTGGGGGTGGGGGGGAGTAAGGCAGTTGGGGGTGACCAGGCCAGCGGGGGGGGGGGGGCAGTGGGGGGTGATCAGGTTCAGAGACATTTGGTTCCGGTGATCAGGCAGGCAGGGGGGCAGTAAGGGGCAACCAGGCCAGCCAGGGTGGGGTGGGTGGAAAGGCAGTTAGGGGTGACCAGGCTGGCAGGGGGGCATTTGGAGGCTTCCAGGCCAACAGAAGGCAGTTGGGGGTGACCAGGCCAGCCGGGGTGGGATGGGTAGGAAGGCAGTAAGGGGGATCATGTTCGGAGACAGGTGGTTCGGGGTGATCAGGCAGGCAGGTGAGCAGTTAGGAGCCAGTGATCCTGGATTGTAAGAGGGATGTCGACTGCTGGTTCAGTGGGAAGGGCCTGGTCTCCACCCAGGCCCCTGCTCCACACCCTGGGAACCCCTTGTGTTCAGGGTCCGGGAAGTCACCCCGGGGAGGGCGGGAAGGCCTCACCTTTCTCTCCACGTGCCCCCTTCTCCCCGGGGTCTCCTGCAGAGAGAGGTCAGCATAGGCTCGAGGGCGAGGACACGGCTCCTGCCAGACCCATCAGCAGGAGGAGGCCTGTCCCACCCGTCCCATCAGCCTGCGGACTGGCCTGTCCCCACCCGTCCCGTCAGCCGGAGGACGGCCTGTCCCCACCCGTCCCGTCAGCCTGTGGACTGGCCTGTCCCACCCGTCCTGTCAGCCGGAGAACGGCCTGTCCCCACCCGTCCCTTCAGCCTGTGGACTGGCCTGTCCCCACCCGTCCCGTCAGCCGGAGGACGGCCTGTCCCCACCCGTCCCGTCAGCCTGTGGACTGGCCTGTCCCACCCGTCCTGTCAGCCGGAGAACGGCCTGTCCCCACCCGTCCCTTCAGCCTGTGGACTGGCCTGTCCCCACCCGTCCCGTCAGCTGGAGGACGGCCTGTCCCCACTGTCCTGTCAGACGGAGGACAGCCTGACCCACCCATCCTGTCAGCCGGAGGACTGGGCTGTCCCCACCTGTTCTGGGGCTGAGAGAGCCCAGGGCAGGGACAGGTGACGGGGCAGAGGGAGCTGGGGTCTCACTTCTGTGCCTGGTAGGTGCTGGGCTGGGGTCGGTGCTGGGCTGGGGTCAGTGCTGGGCTGGGGTTGGGACCTGCCCTGGGCTCTCTGGGTGCTCTGGACACAGACCCAGGTCCTGGGTGAGGGAGCACCCTGTTTGGGCAGAGTTAGGGTTAGGGTTAGGAATAGGGTTATGGACAAGGATAGGATTAGGGTTAGGAATAGGGTTATGGACAAGGATAGGATTAGGATTAGGGTTAAGGTTAGGGATAGGGTTATGGACAAGAATAGGATTAGGGTTAGGAATAGGATTATGGACAAGGATAGGATTAGAGTTAGGGTTAGGGTTAGGGTTAGGGTTAGGATTAGGGTTAGGGTTATGGACAAGGATAGAGTTAGGGTTAGGGATAAGTTTAGGGATAGGGTTAGGGTTAGAGTTAAGGTTATTGACAAGGATAAGGTTAGGGTTATGGATAAGAATAGGTTCGGTTTAGGGTTAGGGTTTGGGTTAGGGTTAAGATTAGGTTATGGACAAGGATAGGATTAGGGTTATGGGCAAGGATAGGGTTAGGGTTATGGACAAGGGCAGGGTTAGGGTTAGGGATAAGAATAGGTTAGGGTTAGGGTTTGGGATAACATAGGATTATGGTTGCCGTTAGGTTACGGTTAGGAATTGTCCCATGTGACACCCAGGAAGTGCCCTCCTCTCTCTCTATCCACAGGGCCGGCCCAGGGCTCCCCACGCTCCGTGGTGAGTTACCTTTGGGCCCGGGGGGCCCCGCCTTCCCTGGGGCTCCGGATGGGCCTCGTTCGCCTGCGAATTCAAACATGTCCATGAGCAGAGTTCCCGGACCCGGGCCCGGAGCGCCTCCAGGTTTGACCCTCGGGAGCCGGAGGGTGGGACCCGGACCCCAGCCCTCCTAGGGCCCCGCTGCCCAGTCAGAGGCCACGACCTGCGACCAGGGCCTTCCCAGGGGACCGGGCCTGAGCCCAGCCCTTGTCCGGGAACCCGGGGTTTGCATGGCTGTGACTGCCGGCCGCTGTGGTCGCCCCTGGAGACAGGCCCCGGCTCAGCTGGGACAGGGAGGGCAGGGGGACAGTCCAGCCGGGTCCCCTCAGCACAGGCGTCATCACCAGGAGCCGTGCTGGCCGCCCCCCTGGCCCCGGCGGCCAGTGGGTGACCGTGACCGGCTCCCTCCCACGGGCCCACACCCTATGGCCAGCCCCAGTGCCCTCTGAGCCCTGGGGAGAGACAAGTCTCCTGGGCAGAGACAGGCCCCGCCCTCACTCACCTCTCCCGCCGTCCGTGCCCGCCTCCCCCTTGGGCCCTGCCGCCCCGGGCAGCCCCGGGCAGCCCCGCAGGATGGTCAGCTTGTCGGCCTCCAGCCCCAGCACCTTCACTTCTGCAGAGAAGACGGCCCATCAGTGCGGCCCTGCCGCCTCCACCCCTGCACAGGCCAGGCACACGTGACATGGCCCCCTCCCCCTGCATAGGCCAGGCACACGTGACATGGCCCCCTCCCCCTGCACGGGCCAAGCACACGTGACATGGCCCCCTCCCCCTGCCCGGGCCAGGCACACGTGACATGGCCCCCTCCCCCTGCACAGGCCAAGCACACGTGACATGGCCCCCTCCCCCTGCACGGGCCAGGCACACGTGACATGGCCCCGTCCCCCAGCACGGGCCAAGCACACGTGACGTGGCCCCCTCCCCCTGCACGGGCCAGGCACACGTGACATGGACCCCTCCCCATGCATGGGCCAGGCACACGTGACATGCTCTCCCAGCACCGCAGGCCGCTGGACCCCGGAGGCTCACCTGTCCCCGGCCCAGCCCCGCCCACAGCCCGGGACTCAGAGGGGGTGCAGCCCCTTTGGGAGCTCCTGGGCCGGGAAGGAGGGGGCCGTGGGGTGGAGGGGTGGGGAACCCCTGCCTCCTGCTTCCTCTTCTGGGACCCGGGGGCCGCCTGCCCGGAGGTTCCAGGTCCCCATGCAGGACCCAGCGGGGAAGCGGCCTCGCACGGACCGGCCGGGGCGGGCGCTCTCCACGCTCCCCTCACTCCCCCTGTGGGTGGGACCGCGCTGGCCCCCGTGGGAGGACCCTGAGGCCGGTGCCCCCAGACGGTGGTCAAGCCTCAGTCTGAAGAAGAATGTTCCGGAAGGACGGGTGGGGGGGGAGGGGGGCAGACACGCAGGCAGTGGTCGGTGCCGAGGCTCCCGGCTCCGGGCCTCCGCCCGGCCTGCCCGCCGCCCTGGCTCACCTGGACAGCTGTCGGCAGGGGTGGCGGCGGCGGTGCCCAGGAGGGCGAGGGCCAGCACCACGGGCCCCATGGCAGCGGCTGCTCGGCGCAGTGACATCCAGATCCTCTGGGAGGGCGCACCCCCTTTTATCCTGCGGAGCCCCGCCTCGGCTCTGGCTCCCAGGGCCGCCCGAGGGGAGGGCACTTCCTCCCGGCTGCCACACCCCACCCCCCCCCCAGCGCCCTCCCCCCTGCAGTGCCCGGTCCCCCCTCACCCCCCCAGCGCCCTCTCCCCTGCAGTGTCCGGTCCCCCCTCACCCCCAAGCGCCCTCCCCCCTGCAGTGCCCGGTCCCCCCTCACCCCCCAGCGCCCTCCCCCCTGCAGTGCCTGGTCCCCCCTCACCCCCTCAGCGCCCTCCCCCCTGCAGTGCCTGGTCCCCCCTCACCCCCTCAGCGCCCTCCCCCCTGCAGTGCCCGGTCCCCCCTCACCCCCTCAGCGCCCTCCCCCCTGCAGTGCCTGGTCCCCCCTGACCCCCCCCAGCGCCCTCTCCCCTGCAGTGTCCGGTCCCCCCTCACCCCCCCCCAGCGCCCTCCCCCCTGCAGTGCCCGGTCCCCCCTCACCCTCCAGCGCCCTCCCCCCTGCAGTGCTCGGTCTTCCCTCACCCCCCCCAGCGCCCGCCCCCCTGCGGTGTCCGGTCCCCCCTCACCCCCTCAGCGCCCTCCCCCCTGCAGTGCCCGGTCCCCCCTCACCCCCCCCAGCGCCCTCCCCCCTGCAGTGCCCGGTCCCCCCTCACCCCCCCCCCCCAGCGCCCTCCCCCCTGCAGTGCCCGGTCCCCCCTCCCCCCTTATTCCCATCCTGCAGCGGCGTGGGGAGACATCTGCCGTGCCCCATCAGCGGTGCTCTGTTGGAAGGACAGAGGTGGCGGGGGAAGCAGCCAGGGGGAGGCCACAGGGGGCTCCTGTCCCAGGGGCTGGGGTCTGCAGAGGGCGGCTCTGGCTGCTCATCGCTCCGGCTCACCGGCCGCTCTGGGCGGACGGGGAAGGGGCCCTCTTTCCGGGGGAGCCTGCCCCCCCCCCCCAGCAGGTGAGCGGGTCCTTCTCTCAGACACAGCCACGCTCAGCACAGTGGGGTCCGAGTGCGTAGCGCTGCGCTGGTCCGGCGTCCTAATCCCCCGCTCCCCCCGCCGTTCACTGAGCCGGCCACAGCGGGAGCTGCTGGCAGCCGAGGGGGACACGCCGGCCTCCTGCCACACGGACACGCCCCGGGGAGGGGAGCCCGGGGCGCAGAGCTCAGGACCGCAGCCCTGCTCCGGGGGCGGGGACGCAGGCCCCTCGCGAGGGAGGTGGCCGGGCCTGGAACACGCCTGTGCCCGCGGCCCTCCCCCGGGCCCCCATCCCCCGTCCCCCGGATTCATGCTCTAGTCCAGGACGCCGACCCCCATTCCTTTAACACCGTGGTCGGCGAAGGGCGGCTCGAGAGCCACAGGCGGCTCTTCCACCAAACACCGCGGCCCGGGCGCGTCTCTGCTGAAGACGTGGCGTTAGAAGGAGTTTGTTTAAAAAGTGTGGCTCTCCAAAGACATTTCCGTTGTTTCCTGTTGATACTTGGCTCTGCTGACGGAGGAGTTTGCCGGCCGCGGCGTTAACACGTTTTCCGTGAAGGATGCCTGCTGAGCAGCATGTGACTGCCCATAGCAGCCTGTTTTCTCAAGAATCCTGGGGACTAGTTCACAGGAAGCAGCCTCCGGCCTGCGGACATCCCGGCTCCGAGGCGTTTGCTGACCTCCCACCAGTGATCTGGCCGACGGGGTTTGCAAACAGCTGCCTCAAGGAGAACTGTCGACCCCCTCCTCCAACTCCTTTCTCCTGTCCCCCCCACCCCCCTTCCTCCTTACAAAACCTCTGCCTGAGTCCGTGTGTCAAGATGGTCTCTGTGCCCTGGACACTGTGGCTCAGTGGTTAGAGGGCTGGCCTGAGCACCGAAGGGAAGGGTCTCGGGTTTGACTCCCGGTCCAGGGCACGTACCTGGGTTGCAGGTTCACTCCCCGCCCACTGGTTGGGGCGTGGGTGGGAGGCGTCCCGCTGAAATGTCTCTCTCACACCGATGTTTCTCTCCCTTTCTCTCCCTCTTCCTCTCCATCTCCCTCTTCCTCTCCCTTCCTTCCTCCTTCCCACTCTCTGAAAAGCAATGAATGAACTATCCAATGGTGAGGATTCATGAAACAATTTTTTGAAAAAAGGGATGAATTTGCAGGGAGTCTCCCGTCTCCTCGGCCTGCTGGCTTCCGAATGAACCGTCCTTCCTCGCAGCAGCACAGCCCGGAGGACGGCGGCGAGCAGCGGGCCGGCAGCCGAACCCGGTTCGGTGTCCGATCGGCTCTTGGAGTTGGCAGCAGCTCGGCGGGTGGCCTGTGGGGTGACTGACAGCCTGCTCACCCAATGGGAAAGGGGCCCTGGAGTCGCGGGACCAGTGAGTGGTGGAGGTGCCCATCGGGGCTCGGGAACAGGGGCCAGGCCGGAGTCCCTGGCATGGGCACGCGACCCCCTTTCTGACCTCAGCTTCCGCTCCGCGGCTTCCGCTGAGGCAGACCGCGGAACGCCAGACACACGTCCATCCACCCGCTCTGCAGACGCAGTGAGCGGTGTCGGGTCCGAGCGGCCGGCCAGGGCCGCAGCGAGGATTCCCCCCGCCCGAGGGCTCACGGCTGTGACAAACGGGACAGGTCACGTCTGAATGAACCTAAACACACTGACGCACCAGGCGAGCGTCCCGGAGCGGAGCTGTGAGCAGAGCCAGCTGTCCCAGGTCCACCAGCTTGAAACTGACGCCTCAGGTCCGCCCAGTCCCAGGTGGGGGCTCCCGGCCCGCCCAGCAGGGGCTCCCGGCCCGCACCTCCCGGGGTTGGTGATGGCCCCAACCCTGCGGGTCAGCCGCTTCCCCCCCATCCCGGGGGCTGGAGCCCGGAGAGCCGCCCGGCGCCGGGGCCTGGGGCTGGCGGTCACGAGCCTCCCGCCCCCTCCCGCCTCCCCCGGGCGGCCCTGACCCTCCGCCCGTGACCCCGGGCCGGGCCGGGCCGGGAAGCGAGCTGCTGAGCAGCCGGACATCGGCTGAGATAGGCGAGGGCGCTCCCAGGTCACTTTGCATCCTGGGACTTTCCGGGCTCGGCCTCCCTCTGCTTGTCCCGGATGGGACGTGCTGTCTGTCACCGTGTCCCCACCGGACCCCGCTTCTCCCCTCCTCCTCGCCACCCCCACCCTCGTCCCCTCGTGCTCCTCTGTTTGTGCCAATTCCACCTAAAACGGGGGTCAGGGTGGCTCCGCCAGCACAGGCGGCTCGCAGACGAACCACACGCCTCCAGGGGGAGTCTGTGGTAAAGAGCGGCCGCTTCCAGGACGGGGCGGGTTTGTGCGGGACCTGCCGGGGGGCGCCGGGAGGGTGGGCGACCCCCAGGAGGCGGGAGGCAGCCCCAGCGCCGGCCGGGCCGCAGGCCTGCCTGTCCGAGCCCAGAGGGATGCCGGGAACTTTCTAGAATCACCAGCTCTCGGGGCCACGCACACCTGCAGGGCAACCCGTTCCGTAGCAACAAGCAGTGCGGCCGCCGAGTGGTGTCCTCGTCTGCGTCTCCCTCGCGTGGAGTCCCAGCCCCGAGGCTCAGGCCCGCGGTCCGCGTCCCCAACGAGGCCGAGAACGTCCCAAAGAGCAGCGGTCCCCACCGCCGGACACGCCCAAGAGGAGCCCCCCGCCGGGAAGCCGAGCCGGACGGTCCCGGGCAGCCGTGGCCCGGCCCCTGGGGGGACCACACTCACCTCACCCCGGCCCCGGCTCAGGCCGGCGAGACGAGACTCAGCCCCTGACGGCGGGACCGGGCTGGGCACGTGCCTCTGTCCCAGGACCGGAGCGAGGGCTGGCCGGCCCGTCTCTGCGCGCCTCTCCCGAAGGCCCGCCCGCCTGGGCAGGTGTGGGGGCAGCTGCGGGGGCAGGTGAGGGGGCAGCTGTGGGGCAGGTGAGGGGGCAGGTGAGGGGGCAGGTGAGGGGGCAGGTGAGGGGGCAGGTGAGGGGGCAGGTGAGGGGGCAGCTGTGGGGGCAGTTGTGGGGGCAGGTGTGGGGGCAGCTGCGGGGGTAGGTGAGGGGGCAGCAGTGGGGGCAGGTGAGGGGGCAGGTGCGGGGGCAGGTGAGGGGGCAGGTGTGGGGGCAGGTGAGGGGGCAGCTGTGGGGGCAGGTGTGGGGGCAGCAGTGGGGGCAGGTGAGGGGGCAGGTGTGGGGGCAGGTGAGGGGGCAGCTGCGGGGGCAGGTGAGGGGGCAGGTGCGGGGGCAGGTGAGGGGGCAGCTGCAGGGGCAGGTGAGGGGGCAGGTGAGGGGGCAGGTGTGGGGGCAGGTGAGGGGGCAGGTGAGGGGGCAGGTGTGGGGGCAGGTGAGGGGGCAGCTGTGGGGGCAGTTGTGGGGGCAGGTGAGGGGGCAGCTGTGGGGGCAGGTGTGGGGGCAGCAGTGGGGGCAGGTGAGGGGGCAGGTGCGGGGGCAGCTGTGGGGGCAGGTGCGGGGGCAGGTGAGGGGGCAGCTGTGGGGGCAGGTGAGGGGGCAGGTGTGGGGGCAGGTGAGGGGGCGGCATGGGGGCAGGTGAGGGGGCAGCATGGGGGCAGGTGAGGGGGCAGCTGTGGGGGCAGCTGCGGGGGCAGGGGAGCTCCTGCTGACATTGTCGGGATGTGCCTGCAGGGAGGGGAGGCCCGGGCCTGGAGTGCAGCCCCCAGGCCAGCGCCTCTGCCTGGTCCCGGGACGTACCTGCGAAAGCACACAGTCCTCCCGGGGAGCACGCCCCGGCTCCTGGCTCTCTCCACGCCGGCTCCCGCACCTGCAGGCCCGGTCCTGAGGCCCAGACGGCGGGCGCCTTCCGCAGCCGGGCCTCAAGGGTCAGGGAGCTGCACCCAGGCGTGGGGGCCTCTCAGGGCCTCCCCCTGGGCTTCCCGGAGGCCCCTCCTCCCTCCCTCTCCGCCCCCAGCTCACTCACCTCCTCACCTTCCAGGCTAAGCAGGGGCTCCTGCCCTGGCCGCCCGCCCCTGCCCGCCCACGGGTGGGTGCTCCTGGAACGCGCCCCCAGGGCCAGGGACTCCTGCGGGAGGCGGACCCTCTGAAAGGCAGGGCTCCCTGCCCATCGCCCTCCCTGTGCAGCCAGCCGCCTGCTCAGCCGCCCTCGCCGCCTGGCCTGGGCGGCAGCCCGCACACCGGCCCGCGGCCGGAGCGCCCGCCCCCTCTCAGCGGAGGACGCAGCTCCCAGCTGCCGCCTCGGGGCTGCCTGGCGTTCCCCCTCCGAGTGTTTCTCACTCTTTTTTAAAATATGTATCTTAATGATTTCAGAGAGGAAGGGAGGGGGAGAGAGACATCACTGAGGAGAGAACCATGGATCGGCTGCCTCCTGCAGGCCCCACACTGGGACCGAGCCCACAGCCCGGACCTGTGCCCTGACCGGAATCAAACCGTGACCCGGTGCATCGGTGGATGCTCAGCCCTGAGCCCGCCTGCCGGCTCTCCTCCGTGTTCGCTCTAACGCGGTGCCCGGACGGGGCCTCCCGGCCTGACCGTCTGCAGCCTCCGGGCGCGTTTCCTCTCGCCGGCCAGTTCTCCCCGGAGCTCTCTCCTCAGCCCGCCCGGCGGCCGAGCGGCCAGCTGCAGCCCCGGTGCCCCTCTCCCAGGCTCCTCGCCCGCCGGCTGGCACAGGCAGCCAACGACCGGCTGACCACAGGTGGTGCCGGCGACGGGAGGCAGCCTCCTCCTCCTCCTCCTCCTCCTCCTCCCACGTCCAGCGTCCCGCCATCGTCCGCTGTGCGCCCCCCATGCTGTTCTGAAAGCCGCTGCCCACTCTTGGGGCCCCTCTGCCCGCCCTCAGGAGCCCCAGGCCAGTGACCTGGGCCCCGAGGAGCCTGGGCACCCGGAGGCGTCGTCAGAGCACGTGGACAGCGGTAGCCGCAGGGCGGGGCCAGGAACCTGCATTCCTTCCCTTTCCTTCGTTAATCCTCACCGGAGGGTATTTCCTCACAGATTTTTATTTATTTATTTTTTAGAAGATATTTTATTGATTTTTTTACAGAGGAAGGGAAAGAGATAGAGAGCCAGAACATCTATGAGACAGAAACATTGACCAACCGACTCCTGCACCCCCCTCCCACCACCGGGGATGTGCCCGCAACCAAGGCACATGCCCTTGACCGGAATCGAACCCGGGACCCTTGAGTCTGCAGGCCAATGGTCTATCCACTGAGCCACACCGGTTTTGATTCATTGATTTTTAGAGAAAGTGGAAGAGAGGGAGGGAAGGAGGAGGGAGAAAGAGGCAGAGGGAGAGAGAGAGGCAGAGGATTTAAAAAAAAACCAAAAAAAAACCCAAACCCTTTTCTGCCCTAACCGGTTTGGCTCTCGCCCTGCGGACTGAAGGGTCCCGGGTTCCATCCCGGTCAAGGGCATGTGCCTTGGTTGCGGGCACATCCCCAGTAGGAGGTGTACAGGAGGCAGCTGATGGATGTTTCTCTCTCATCGATGTTTCTTATTCTCTATCCCCCTCCTTTCCTCTCTGTAAAAAAAAAAAAAAATCAATGAAATGTATTTTAAAAAATAAATAAAAACGCCTCTTCCCAGCGTCATAGCTAGCACGCTGTGGCCCTGTGGGCATGCACCGAGTCACGTGAGGTAGGCTAAGGGCCTGAGGTCCTGGAATCGTTCCCACAGGTTTTCTGACATTTCTCTCCCTCAGTGCACATCCGATGGATGGCACAGGCGAGGAGGGAAAAGAATAAAGCACGCCCACAGACGTCTGCAAATATAGAAGTATTTTATTGCAATATATGGTCGGAGGGGGGCACGTTCTGACTTCGGGACGAATTACAGCTTGGAAGGGCTGGCCAATGGAGGCGGACATGACAGGAGGGAAGGAGGGCGACGAGAAATCCAACCGGAATCACATGACCTGGAGAGCCCCCGGGCACGGCTTCTCCGCGGGGGGACGGACGGACAGGGGGACAGTCCTGGGCGTGGTGTGCCGGGCCCCACGGTCTCTGGAAGCGGCTTCTCTTTGGCAAGAGCGGGACGGACTTCCACGGGCGATGGGGGAGTCCTCGTGGGCGGTGGTGGTTCCGTGGCCGTGCAGGGGCTGCCTGAGCCGGAGCCACGGGTGGCTGGGCGGGCGGCGGCTGCGGGAGCCCAGGGGCTGCTTTCACAGTTCAGGCCGCGGTCCTCGCCCTCAGAGGGGGCAGCCCCTCGCCCCCAGGGGCGCGCCCAGAGCCTTGCGGGTGTTGCCGATGGAAATCCAAACTGTGTATGTGGGACGGGCCTGCCAAGTTCATCGCCCGCGTGTCCCCGTGGGCGGGGCCTGGGGCAGCACCGGGGCCGCCAAGCGGGTCCATGAATTAGCAACCACAGAAATTAGCACCAGACGTTCGGGCCGAGGACCATCTGCTTTGGCGACCGGCAGGCATTTTCAAATCACAGGAGCGAGGCCGGACGCGGGCCACGGGCCTGGAGGGTGTGACCGCGGGCCGCGGCGTCCCCGGCAGAGACCCGGACTGTGGAGGGCGGAAGGGGAGGCCCGGCCAGGCCGGCGTCGCCCTCAGGATCTCGGGACAGATAGCACCACAGAGAGTTAAGCACCGAGTGTCACAGTGACCGTCCGCAGGACACACGGCCTCCGGCCCTGGACACGCCGCTGGGGGAGGCACAGGGGCCACCGCCCGCCTTCCACCCCGGTGCCCGCGGAGAAGGCAGCGGGAATGCCTCTTCCTCCCCGTGGAAAAGCCAGAGCCGGTGGAAGCCCAAGGCAGGAGCCGGCCGCGCCTGCGTGTCCTCGCACCGCCTGCCCCTGCAAGGCCCGTGGGGCGGCGTGGGCTCCGGGTCTTGCCAGAGGGACAGCATCGGGTGCGGGCCTGGCACCCCTCCCCGTCCCCTTCTCCCTGGGACTGAGCTGGGCTGGCCTCCGTGGCTGGAAGTCCGGGACACTGAACGGCCATGACAACACAAGTCACACGTTTACTTCACATCACACGACAGAGCACCTGGGAGGTGGACGGCAGGGGAGCGGCTGGCACCTGGCGGGCGGGGCGGGAGGGCGGGCTCCGCGGGGGGCGCCGGGACTTTGTGGAAGGCACGTCTTCTAGCGGGGTTTTAAGTGTCGGCCCCGAACCCCAGGCCCGCCCCGCCCGCAGAGGCTCCCGGGCCAGGTCGCCAGGTCGCGTGGCCTGTCCGTCCGTGGAGCAGAGAGAGCCGGGCTGGAGCCGGCGGGCGGGGGCGTCTCGGTCATGTGATTCGGCGCTGAGGGGGCGCGGCCCTCTCCTCTCTCTGCGGTCGGGCGGCCTGGCGGGCGCCGGGCGGACGAGGTCGGGGCGTGACGCCCGCGGGCGCGCTGAGGTCAGGAGTTGGTGGGGCGGCGGCCCCTAGCCCAGGAAGCAGGCCGGCCCCACTTCGAACCCGAACTTCTGGGCGGCCTCGCCGAAGTCGTTGAACATGATGTCCACGATGGGCACCTGCTCTACCTTGGGCGTGTCGATCGCCAGCACCGTCTTCTGGTAGCCCTTCCGCGTCTGGGGGCGCGGGGGCGGGGGCGTCAGGCCGAGCCGGCCTCGGGGCGGCCCCCCACCCCCCACCGGCCCCCACGTCCCACCCCGGCCCCGCCCGCGCCCGGCCTCACCGCGCAGCCGTCCACCAGCGCGCGGATGTAGGGGCTGTTGTCGTAGGACATCTCCTCGTCGTTGGAGCCCAGGAAACGCATGGCCTTGTCGTAGCCGCCCGTGGCCGCGTCCTGCCAGGCCACCGACTGGTAGCAGTTGTAGGTGACGTTCTGGCTGGCCGAGGCGCTCAGCAGCCGCAGGAAGGTCATCTGCACCACGCCCACGGGGCTGCCCTCGGCGTCCACGTAGGACAGCTGCGGGGGAGGGGGAGGGCGCTCGGCTGTGGGGCCACGTGGCCAGACCACGCTCAAGGCGGCGCCCGCCCCGCCCCATCCACGGGCTCTCCCCCGCAGCGTGAGCCACACCGGCGACTGCCTCTCGCCCGCAGGACGCCAGCACACACCGGCTCTGAGGGCCCCTGGGCCACACCTCCCTTTTCAGGAACCCAAATAACTCCCCCACCTGTGCCCGGCCCCACCCTGCACATCCTCAGGGCTCAGTGCACGTGCCTTCTCCTCCAGGGAGCCCCCCTGGGTTAGGTGCCCTCACCGCCACCGTGGCCCCAGGGTGAGGGGCGTGGGTGCCTGGGGCCTCGACGGCAGCCCTTTCTGGACAGTGAGCTCCCTCCCTGTCTCTGTGCCCGAGGCCGGCCAAAGGCTCATTAGATCCCGTTAACCATGAGTGCCCTGTGCTGAGGGTCAGGGATGGGAGAGGCCTGGCCAGGGGCCTGAGGACGGCAGGTCAGAAGGCCAGGCCGTACGGCCAAGAGCTGGGAGGTGGGGTGACCCTGGGGTGTCCCTGCCCCCGCCGGGCACAGAACCCAGGTGGTCACGTGCGGGATGGAACCGGGCGCCTGGGCACCCTCCGCCAGCACAAGGCCGGGCGGGAGGGGGTGCTGATCTGGGGGACCTCCCCAGCGTCACCCACTGACATCCCCCCGGGCTCCCAGCCAGAGGGGCGTAGGCTGCAGGCTGGGCCTGGCGCGGGGCGGGGGACCGGCCTCTGGGCCCGGGACTCCGCCCGCCCGGGGCCCAGCTTCTCTGCCCAGACGCCCCTGCGGAGCCAGGCTCCCCTCGCTGGCAGTGCCCGCCGAGCCGGGAGAGGGTGGCACCGGCAGGGTCTGAGCCGGCCCCGCCCTCCCGGAGAGGGGCTGGAACACGGAGACCTTCCCGGGCTCTGTCCCCGCCCCCGACGTGGGGCCTGGCTGGAAGGGGCACCCACACGCCCTCCGAGGACCTTGGGGGAGGACTGATACCAACCGTGCGGCGCCAGGTGCTCCTGGGAAAGGTGACTGACTCGGGAGAGGACGCAGGCGGCGGGGGGAGGTGTGCGGGGGGGGGGGGCGCAGGGAGGCGGCGGGGGCTGGACGCGGAGGACCTGCAGCTCGCTGTGCCCAGGGCTGTGCGGACCCAGATCCACTGTGACACCCGCCCCCATGGGTAAAGGCCTGCACTGCCGTCTCCACGGGCACGGCCGCCCCATGAGCCCTGTTCCCTCGAGGGACGGCACCTGTCCTTCCACTCGCAGGTCAGAGCCAGACATGACAATAGGAGTGGGGACAACAGGAGCTTTGCCCTGGCCCTCCGGCCTCCCCTCGCCACCCCCCACCCCTCCGCGCCACCCTACCCCTTGCCAGCCTCCCCCTGCCAGCCTCGGCCTCCTGCCTGTGAAACAAACAGGACGTTCACCGAGGTGGCTCCTGGGCTGTGGCTGGAACGAAGGTCCCGTCATGTCTGGGGGATTCCACTTCCTCCCTGGCTCTGGGTACCCCCCCCCCCCCCGACTCCTGCGCCCGTCACCCTGACCTCCGCCCACCCTGCTGAGCCCCGGGCACTGGGTCCAGCCCCTGGCCCCAGGTCCTCCGTGTGCCAGTGCAGAGGGGCAGGAGCGGTGAGGAGGGCAGAGCAGACAGGAGGCCAGAGAGGCGGTGCCCCCGGGCGTGGCCAGCTCAGCACGGGCCTGCGTGACCAGCAAAGGTCGGGGCGATCGGGAGGGGCTGTGCAGGCCGGGGGGGGGGGGAGGGGCCGTGTGGGCAGGCGGGCGATAGCCATTGGCCACCATGCGGTGGAGGAAGGAAAGGCCTTCAGAGCGTGACCGGGCATAGCGACCTGGACGCCACCGCCCGCTGCTCACGGGGGCGTGGCCCTGTGCCCACGGGAGAGGCTGGGGCGGACCGGGGGCGGGTGGTCAGGTGGGAAGCCACGGGGCCCCAGAGCTCGCTTCCTGGGAGACAGAGCCTCCTTCAGGGCCGCTGGGGGCGGGACCGCCGGACGGAGGTGGGGACCACGGGACCAGGGGCACCCGGCCCCAGTGGCAGCGGCTGTTCAGCCCGGGAGCGGGCGCACTCAGGTCCACACCCAGAGGCGTGGGGTGGGGTGTCCTCTGGGCGCCTGGGCCACTGGCCTCGGGGGTACGGACCCTCGTCTGTCTCCCCAGGGACTGGAAGCGCCCCCCTGTGCTTTCCAGGCACAGCACGCATTTCACTTCGGGGAGGGGGTTGAGGCCGGCCACCCGGGAGCTGCAACAGGCACGGAGGCGGCCATCTGGGAGCATGTGAGACGCCCGGGCCAGCTCGGCCATCAGAACGGGCTTCGGGCGGGCAGGGCCCGCGGACGGGCCCTGGAGAGACCCGGGGGCGGTGACCTGAAACCTGCCCCAGCGTAAAAGAAAAGGCTGAGCATGGGAGAGCCTTCGTGGGGCCTGGGTCCCGGCCACGGTGGCTCCGGGGTCCTGGACGCCCGCCCCTGCCCGCAGCCTGGCACACCCTCTGCCCCAGGCCGAAGGCAGCGGCCGTGGGGGCGGGGCGGGCGGGGGTGCCTGTGCCGTGAGCGGTTCGGCCAGAGGCGGAGCAGGTGCGCCGGCGGCGGAGCCCATGCAGAGCCGCGAGCCAGGCGGGCGGCGAGCGGGCGCCGGGGCACTTACCAGCGACCCGCGCTTGAACTGACTATACCAGGTGGCCGGCCGCTCTTTGGGCCAGCGGGCCATCTTACTCTGGAAGATAGGACACGGCGGTGAGGGCACCGCCGGGCGGGCCGCCTTACCAGCTTCCCGCGCTTGAATTCGCTGAACCAGGAGCCCGGGTTCTCCTTGGGCCACGAGGTGATTCTGGCCTGAGCGCGCAGCGGGCGCCGAGGGGAGAGAGGACAGGGTTACTCTCCTGCTGAGCCACAGCCCTCCACCTGCCGCGCGGGGACCCGCCCGGCCCCCTCCCCACCCCCCGGTGGCCACAGTGCCCGGCCAGGAAGGACCTGTGGCGCCTCCGGCTGCCCCAGAGCGGAGGCACCTGCTTCCTGTGAGCAGTTTATCCCGCATCAGGGCCACGGCCCGGCCCCTGCCTGCTCAGTGCCTGTGGCCTGAACGAATGAGTGAATGAACGAATGAACAAATGAGTGAATGAATGAGTGAGCGAATGAATGAACAAGTGTGTGAACGAGTGAGTGAGTGAATGAACGAGTGAGTGAACGAGTGAGTGAACGAGTGAGTGAATGAGTGAATGAATGAGCAAGTGAATGAGTGAATGAACGAATGAATGAATGAATGAGTGAATGAACGAATGAGTGAATAAATGAATGAGCAAGTGAATGAGTGAGTGAATGAATGGAGTGTCAGAGGCTGGGATGCTGGTGAGATAACCAAGCATCATTGACTGACGGGCTCAGGGAAGGACCTGGCAGACGGCTGTGGCTCCGTGGGCGTGGCCCCCACCTGGGACAAGTGGGCAGGGCTCACCGGGTGTCAGTGACACAGCTGGGCCAGCTTGGTGTGAGCGGTGGGTGCATGTGCTGTGTGTGCACGCGTGGCTGTGTGTGTACGTGCGACTGTGTGTGTACGCGTGGCTGTGTGTGTATACGCGTGGCTGTGTGTGTGTACGTGTGGCTGTGCGTGTATACGCGTGGCTGTGCGTGTATACGCGTGGCTGTGTGTGTACGCGTGGCTGTGCGTGTGTACACGTGGCTGTGTGGCTGTGTGGTAGGTGCTCTCTCTTGGAGGAGTGACCTGGGGAATGCCCTGCAGCACAGCGCCTGTTCCCCCTCCCCGCACCCCCCACTGGAGGGAGGGGTCTCCCTGTGCAGTTTGCAGGGGCCGAGGCCGAGGCTGCAGGGACGTTGTGGGGCCTGAGGGATGAGGGAGGGAGGGACCCCCAGGGGAGCCGTGTGCCCCATGGGCGAAGGGGCAGAGCCACGGCTGCGGGCACATCCACGGGCTGCAGGACAGACTGTGTCCGGTCACACGTCCACGGGGCCTCTGCCTGGGCCTCGGCTCCGTATCCCTGTCCCCCCCACCCCCCCCCCCGAGCACGATGGGGCCCCTGGAGGACCAGGGTGTCCGAGCCCCCGTCCCCTCGTGGCTCCCCGCTTAGTGGCCCGCACCGTGGCTGTGGTGACTGCTCAGAGGGCCGCTCCTCGGGGACACCCCACCCTCCTGCGGCCCAGGGGACCAGGCGGGGTGTCCGCCCGCCCCGGCGCCGGGCTGGCAGCACACCGCCGGGGAGGGGTGGGCCGCCACCAGCCAGGGCCCGGGAGCGCGGCCTGCCGGCGGACGGGCAGCGAGGCCGCTGGCAGAGGCCGGGCAGTGACGGAAGCGGGAGAAGCTGTGCCGCCCCTGACGCTGGGCCCCAGCCTCTGCCCACGGGGCCCGGGCTGCATCTCCTCCCGACTGCAGGGGCCTGCTGCCCGAGTGCCAGCCCCCGGGGTCCAGGTTCCGGTGGAGGGCACACAGAAACGGGGTCCTCGCCCGGCTGTGTGGCTCAGGGGTTGAGCACTGACCTATGAACCAGGCGGTCATAGTTCGATTCCCGGTCGGGGCACAGGCCCGGGTTGTGGGCTTGATCCCAGGAGTGGGATAAGCAGGAGGCAGCCGGTCCGTGATTCTCTCTCATCACTGATGTTTCTCTCTCTCTCTCTCTCTCTCTCTCTCTCTCTCTCTCTCTCTCTCTCTCCTCTCTCTCCCTCTCTCTTCCTCTCTGCAATCAGCAGAAGTATTTAAAAATAAAATAAAATAAATAAAATTGAGATCCTTGCCGGTGGCTCAGTGGTTAGAGCGCGGCCCTCACAGCAAAGGGTCTTGCACCTGGTTAAAGGCACCCACCTGGGTTGCTGATCCACTCCAGCTCCCGGTTGGGGTGCGCGCAGGAGGCAGCGATCAATGTTCTCTCCCTCCCCCATCCCCTCTCCCCTTCCCCCCTCCCTTAGAAAAGCCACGGGGAATCCCCTCGGGTGAGGGGTGAGGGTTAAAGGATGAGAGGGCCTCAAATCGCCTGTCAGTCAGCGGGGAGCCCAGGTCCTGCGAGCCCCAGGCTGACTCCCTGTGGCTGCAGCGGGGTCTGGGGGGGGGTGGGCTGGAGGACGGGGTGCAGACAGGGCTCCTGGGCGCAGCAGCCACCAGGGAGCCGAGGCTGCGGCTGCTGACCGCCGGCCGAGCCTGAACCTCACGCAAACCCGGCCCCTGGACCAGCCGCCCTGTCCCAGGACAGCGAGCCGCCCAGGGGGACGGGGGGCTGCCAGGCCATGCCCAGGGCACTGTGGCCGCATCTCTGCCCTCCCACCGGAGGCCGTGTCCTCCCACCCGCCCGGGCCCAGCCTCCAGCTCGTAGGAAGCAACACACACCTGTACACACACAGACACACATATACCATCTACACGTCTGTCTCTGCATGTGTGCACATACATACACACACACCATCCACACAACTGTCTGCACACACACTCCATCCACACAACTGTCTGCACACACACTCCATCCAAACACCTGGCTGCACACACACCCCATCCACACGCCTGGCTGCACACACACACCATCCACACGCCTGGCTGCACACACACTATCCAAACACCTGGCCGCACACACACCCCATCCACACAACTGTCTGCACACACACTCCATCCAAACACCTGGCTGCACACACACCCCATCCACACGCCTGGCTGCACACACACACCATCCACACGCCTGGCTGCACACACCCCATCCACACGCCTGGCTGCACACACACCCCATCCACACGCCTGGCTGCACACACACACCATCCACACGCCTGGCTGCACACACCCCATCCACACGCCTGGCTGCACACACACCCCATCCACACGCCTGGCTGCACACACACATCATCCACACACCTGGCTGCACACACACACCATCCACACGCCTGGCTGCACACACACTATCCAAACACCTGGCCGCACACACACACCATCCACATGCCTGGCTACACGCACACACACACACACAGCATCCAAACGCCTGTCTGCACATGCGTGCATACACACACACACACACACACACACACACCAGCGTCCCCCTGGAGGGCAGGCTCTGAGACCAGAGGTAACTGAATTGACACCCACAAATCGCAGTGGTGAGCCTCGCTGGGAAAGGTCTCTGCCGACCACAGGGCTGACTGCTCGGGGCAGCAGCAAAGCCGCCAAAGTGGCGGCCCCAGAACCAGGGACACCAGCTTCTCCGAGATGCACCGGGTCCCTGTGCTGCATGGGCTAGGGCGGTCTGCGGTCATGCCGGATACCACTTCCGGCAGGTAATAATTACAAGAGTCTCACCAAAAGGTGGGTGAAGCGTGGGCGGCTCAACAAGGGTGAGCCACACATGTAGTTCACCTGGTGGAATGGCTAAACGGCACTTCCCCCAAACCTGAATAGGATTGTCTGTTGCCAGACAGCTCAGGGCACTTTATTGCCTCCTGTTGGCCAAACACGGAACAGCTGTGGGCTATTCCCCAAACCGGCGATCTCTGTAACCCTTTGATACCTCACCCTTTGAAGTGTGTATCTCCACCTTGTCTTTAGGACAAATTGTGTTAAATAACTAGCATGAGGTCCTGAGACAAGGTGAGTCTTCAGTTCCTTTAGCTGAAGCTCCTCTGACCCCCAGTGCCTCTCAAAATCATCTTTCATCTCCGGACTCCTTAGTCATCCACGCATCAGCCCCTTTCCCCAGAGTGCTGAACCGAACCCTTTGTAAGGCCGGGACAAGCACTCCGGCAAGGTGAGAACTGGGGACATGAGGGAGGGAGCTGACCAGCTGTGGCGGGAACCTGGACCAGCCCCAGCTGCGGGGAGAGAGGAGCCGGCCTCCGTCCATTCAGGAGCCCGGGGTGCAGTCCCAGCTCATCACAAGAACTCTCACTGCCCCTTACGGCGACCTCGGGAGCAGACCTCGACCAGAAACCGGCCGGTCCCCGTTCCTAACGCTGCCCGGGAGCCGGACCTCGCTGGCGGAGAGGGGCGGCAGGCGGGCAGGCGGGCACTCACCCCCTCGGACTTCTTGTCGGGGTAGACGCACGTGGCGCCCCCGGCCGTGAAGTTGCAGTAAACTTTGAAGGAGTCCCTGGAGCAGCCCTGGTTCGGGTCCACCCAGTATTCGCCTGCGGGCGGGGCGGGGAGGGGTGTGAGGACTGTGCGGGGCCTGGCCCTGCCCACCCGGCCGCTGCCCGGGCCGCGCCCCACCGTCCGGGAAGTCGGGGTGGCAGAGCTGCAGGTCCTTGCAGGTGCGGGCGGGGTTGTCCTGGGTGCCCAGCGGCCGCTTCATCTGCTCGATCTCCAGCTTGAGCGAGTTGAGCGAGCCGAAGATCTCCTCCATGCCGTCGGCGTAGTCGGCGTAGCTCTCGCCCTCGGCGTCCTCCAGCAGCTGGCTGGCGTCGATGTTCCGCCGCGCGCGGGCCTGGATCGGCAGCGGCTGGATGACCTCGCCCGGGGGGCCCTGGGGAGGCAGAGGGGGCGGCGTGGGTGCGACAGGACGGGCGGGGGGCCCTGGGCCCACACACCTGTCCGTCTCAGGACGCGTCTTCCCTCTCGCTGCCTCCGGAACATTCCGCACCGTCCCCGCCACGGGGCCTGGTCTGCACCGAGCACCTCCCTCCTCTGACCAGCCAGCCCCGCCGGGGTCCCTCTCTGTGCCAGCCCTCGGCCGCACACCCCAGCCAGGCCTGGTGTTCCCGAGTCTGTCCTCAGCGAGGCTCACAGCGCCGACGTGGGCTGCACACAGTGGGGCTGCACAGTCGGACTGCACACAGTGGGGCTGCGGGAGGCTGGCAAGGCCCGAGCCTGTGTCCCTGGGGCTGTGTCAGGGGCCCAGCCGAGGACAGGCACTCAGAGGCTGCGCTGCCAAAGGGTGCGCTGCCTGCACCTTAGGCCTTGTCTACTGCGCCCACCCCAAAGGCACACACACACACGGATGTGCACACATGTGCACATACATGCACACACCGGCATGCACACAGACATGTGCATACACACACGTGCTTTTTCCTGTCTCTCATCTCCATCCTGTCCATCCCTCCCTCTGCCTCCCCCAGGGAGCCCACCGGGGTTGCACTCCCTGGGCTTCCTCCGGGGACAGGCCCTGCCGCCATGGCCACGCTCCTGACGTGGCTATGGAAACGGAACGGCACAGACACATCTTCCCACGGGGCCCTCGGTGCTCGGAGAGCCCCACCCCACGTCCACGTCCTCGGCTGCTCACCGGTGGGCCGGGGGGTCCTGGGTGGCCTGCCTCACCCTTCGGGCCAGTGGGACCCTGTGAGGGGGGAAGAACCAGCTCTGACCACCGGGCCTGCGGGACCGGACTCCCCGGGGTCCCTGTCAGCCCCAGTGGGGGCCGGGGGGGGGGTCTGACATGCAGGGAGGTGACAGCCCCCCGAGATGGGAGCGTAGGGGACAAGGTGCTTTCTGTGGGGCAGACACAGCCACCCCCTCAGGCTGGGGGTGAGCTGGACAGGACGGTAGGAGAGGGGTGTGACCCAGGGGGGTGCGGGGCCCAGGGTGGGGACAATGCAGGGTGCACACCCTCCCCCGGGGGGCGGGCCCTGCAGGGTGCACCGCACTTACCGAGGAGCCCTTAGCACCTTTGGGGCCGGGAGGACCCTGTGGAGAGGGGGGAGGAGCGTTAGTGAGCGGGAGGCCCCTCCCCCAGGCACCCACCTCTGACCTGTTCCTCTTGGGCCGGGCCTGGCTGTCACCCTCTCCCGCCCCATGTCCCTTCCCGGGAGCCGGCACTGGTCTCATGGGACTGGGAGGCGGGGTGGCTGTGCTCACCCCACAGAGCGGGGAGTGTCCTGGCACCAGGGCCGGCTCCCCCCTCAGCGGAATCACATGCAGGTGGCCAAGGGCGAGGGCGAGGGCGAGCCGGCCCAGACCCTGGCGCCCTGCCCTCTGGCCAGGCTCGCACCAGCCGGGGGCCCGCCGGCCATGGGGACCCAGGCCCTGGCCCGGGGGGCACCGGCTCCAGGCCAAGGGGACTGACTGAAGTATGGGTACTGCCCGGCCGGTGTGGCTCAGTGGTTGAGCATCAACCCATGAGCCAGGAGGTCAGGGTTAGATTCCCAGTCAGGGCACAGGCCCAGGTTGCAGGCTTGATCCCCAGTGTGGGGCGGGCAGGAGGCAGCTGGTGCATGATTCTCTCTCACCACGGATGTGTCCATCTCTCTCTCCCTCTCCCCTCCTCTCTTTGAAATCAGTAAAAAATGTATTTAACATTTTTAAGAAGTTGAAACAATCATTAAAACAGTCCTGGCTGAGCAGAGCCGTGCCTCTGCTGCTCGGCACCCTCGTGGGGAGTGAGGACCCAGAGCCCCAATCCCGGGTCCTCACTGTCTGACTCCCAGCTGCACGGGGCCCACGCCCGGCCCCCCTCCCCGCTCTCCCACCTCTCCCCGATACACACCGGCAGGCCCGGGGGCCCCGGGGGGCCGAGGGGGCCGGAAGGACCAGTGATCCCCTGTGAGGAGCAGAAAATGCCATTATCAGGGTGAGGGGGTACGAGCTCATTCCCACCCACACGGCCATGCCCAGGCCTGTACCCCGTCTCCCCTCCCAGCCGCCCCCCGACCCTGAGCGGCCGCCCCACCAGAGGGCAGCCCCTCCCGCGGAGCCTGGGGCCTGACTCCAGCCAGAGCCGACCGTGCCCAGGTGCCCAGGTGCCAGGCTGAGGATCGCCCACCACCTCCCAGCCCCTGAGCCCGGCCGGGGCCCCGGCGGAGAGGTGGCCGGACTGTCTGCCCCCACGTGGCCACCGGGGGCAGGGCCCGGGTTCCGGCTGCTCCATCGCCCTGAGGGGCAGAGGCTGCCCGCCTGCCTTAGGCCTGCCTGGCACAGAGAGCCCAGCCCCGATGCCCTCCCCCAGGCGGGCTGGGCCATCACCCACCTGCTCTCCCTTGGGGCCGGAGGAGCCCTGGGGGCCCGGGAGGCCGCGGTCGCCCTTCTCGCCCTGCTCGCCCGGGGGCCCGATGAGTCCGATCAGGCCTGGGTGACCCTGTGGGGACAGAGGCGTGAGGCAGTGCCGTGGCAGAGCCCAGGCCCCACGCGGGCAGTGAGACGGGCGCCACGCCAGGCCACGGGCGCCACGCCACGCCAGGCCACGGGCGCCACGCCACGCCAGGCCACGGGCGCCACGCCACGCCAGGCCACGGGCGCCACGCCACGCCACGCCACACCAGGCCACGGGCGCCACGCCACGCCACGCCACGGGCGCCACCAGCTGACGCCTCCTGATGGAAAGGGGCCGGAGGGCAGTCGGGTCAGGACAGCGGGTCTGACACGGAAAGACCCTGAAAGAACGGCCAGACGCAGGCCAGGCCCCGGCTCCGGGGACCCTGGCCGGGCCTCCTGCCCGGGTCCGCGGTGGGCACGCGCGGGAGCGCCGGGCGGCATGTGGGGGCCAGGCTCCCGTGGACACGATTGCTCTTCACGGTGTGTTTTTAACGGGGAATCCTCTGCGTGGGTTCGAGTGAGACTGCCTGCTTTCTAGGAGCCGCGGAAAGTTCTGGAAGGGCTCCTCCAGCTTTCGCTGTGCTGGGGGCAGTGAGGGCGGAGAGAGGAAGACCCCACGCCGCCCGCTCCCCCGTCATCGGGCTGTGAGGGGCTTGGCGTTTACAAACAGATGAACGTTCCCCAGAAACCACTCCTGAGGGGAGGGCGAGAGCCCGCCCCCTTCCTGGGGCTGGAGCGCGTCCCCAGGAGCCTCTGCTCCTCGGACCCGAGGCCCTTCCCCTGTGCCCTCCGTGCCCGGGGCCCCCAGGCTCTGCCGGGCGAGGGCGAGGGGCCCAGTCCCAGCCCCACGGCCCCGAGCGCCCCTTACCTTTTCCCCTTTGGGGCCAGAGTCGCCTTTGAGGCCGGGGAGTCCTGGGGGGCCCTGCAGGAGGAGGCGGGTCAGGTCTCTCCCCGTCCCACCGCCACCCCTGCCGGGGGCTCCCGGGGTCACTCACCATGGGCCCGGGGGGGCCGTCGGGGCCTGGGGATCCTGGGAGTCCCTGTTCGCCCTGAAACACAGCCGCTCCGTGTGAGCCCCGTGTGAGCCCCCTCCCCGCCCCATGCCCCACCGCCCTGTGTCCACCCCGTATCCACCCCATGCCTTGCCCCGTGCCCCCCTGCCTGCCCCGTGGCCAACCAGTACCCACCCCGTACCCGCCCAGTACCCGCCCGTGCCCGCCCCGTGCCCGCCCCGTGGCCACGCCGCCCCTGTGCCCCCCTGCCCGCCCCATGCCTGCCCCCTGCTCGCCCCGTGCCCGCCCCCTGCCCCCTGCCCCCTGCCCCCTGCCCCCGCCGGCCTCGGGCACTCACCACGGGGCCGGGGATCCCCCGCAGGCCGTCGGGCCCCGGCTTCCCGGGGGCCCCCTGGGGGCCGATGGGGCCAGTCTTCCCAGGAGGACCCTCCAGGCCGGCTTCCCCCTGCGGGCGGAAGGCGAGTGAGCGCATGGGCTGTCAGAGGGGGTCACCAGGCCCAGACATCCGGAGGGGGGGGCCCCATTTTCCATGTTCCCGTGGGAGCCGCCTGGCACTCCCATAGCCAGCGGGCTCCCAGCCCTGGGGCACACCAGCGGCTGATGCCCGCAGCGACGGCGGCCCACACGTGTGCTGGCCGAGTGCGGCCCGTCCCCCTCAGCCTCGGCCCCGCCACGGCCTCGCCTCCGGGGGGGGGCAGCTGCGGTGGCCCAGGCCGGACCCAGTGCCAGCGCCCTCCGCGCAGTGCCCCAGCCACTGCCGAGCCGCCCTGTGGGGCAGCCAGAGCCGCGATCCTAGGCCCCGCCCCCCCAGCCCCAGGCCGCCTCCCCGCCCCAGCTCCTCACCTTGGCTCCCTTTTCCCCCTGTCGGCCTTCAGGGCCTGCGGGCCCCGGGGGTCCCTGGAGCAGAAGAGAAACACGGGGGGGGGGGTGAGTGGGCTGCGGGTCCCAGTGAGCACAGCGTCTGCAGGGGACAGGCCTGGGGGGCATGGGGGTAGCCCTGGGCCCCTGGCCAGAGGATGCAGCCCCCAGATGCAGCCAGGACTCCGGCCTGGAGCAGGCCCAGGCCAGCATGGGGCGCCCTGGCTGCTGTGAGGGGGCACCCTCCCTTGGCTCCGCCCTGCAGCTCCGTTTCTGCAGCAGCAGAAGCCGGTCACCAAATGGGAAACGGAGGACACGCTCACAGAGAAGCACTGTCCCACCAGCGCCCCCTCCCCCCCGCCCCCGGAGGGGAGCTGCTGTGGGACCCGGCAGGGGGGACGGGCAGGGGGGACCGTTACCCGTTTTCCTGGAGGCCCGGACGGGCCTGGCTCACCGGTGGGGCCCGGGGATCCCTGGAGGCAGAGAGAAGGGGTCGGTTGGCTGCGGGAGGCGCGGGGGGCTGGGCCGGAGGAGCACGCTGAGCCGTGTCCTGGCAGCCGACCCTGACCCCCGTCTCGGGGCTGATGGACCCGCCCGCTGCCCCTGCCCCCCGCTCCCCGGACCCCGGTGACGGGCTCGCCTCCGTGAGCGCCGCCTGCTGGAAGGGGGAACAGTGACACCCCGAGGGCGCGGGCGGGAGGGGGAGCTGGAGGCCTCAGGCCCTGAGCACCCCTCAGAGACGCGGCTGGACACCATGTCTCAGACCCTCTCGGGGTGCGGGTGCCGCTGTGTGGCCCAGCCCGGGGGCTGAGGGAAGAGCCCCTTCCAGGAGGGACACACCGGCCAAGCAGGAATAAACTGCCTCTGCCCTGGCTGGGGTGCTCAGTGGATAGCGCATCGGCCTGCGGACTGACGGGTCCCAGGTTTGCTTCCCGGTCAGGCCACACGCCAGGGTCATAGGCTCGATCCCCAGTGTGGGGTGTGTAGGAGGCAGCTGGTCCCTGATTCTCTCTCATCATGGATGTTTGTATCCCCCTCTCCCTCCCTCTCTGTCATCAGTAGAAATGAATTTAAAGATAAAATTAATTTAAAGCTTATTTGCTTCCCCTGAGGCTCCTGGGCGGCTCTGCAGGTTCCGGGCTCCCTGTGGGCAAACGAGTGGCAAGACGGAGAGCATGCTCCTCCCAGGAGGGGTCCATGCTCCCCAGACCCCACAGGGGGCCAGGCCCCATCACCGCCACCGGGTTAGGGTTTGTCAGAAATGAACAAAGCGTCCGGCCGGCGTGGCTCAGTGGCTGAGCATCGACCTATGAACCAGAAGGTCACGGTTTGACTCCCGGACGGGCACAGGCCCGGGTTGCGGGCTGGATCCCCAGGAGGCCGTGCAGGAGGCAGCTGATGGGTGTTTCTCCTCACATCAATGTTTTTCTCTCTCTCTCTCTCCCTCTGTCTTTCTAAAATCAATAAAAGCTTACATATATAAAAAGCTAGTTGCCAATCCCCAGAACCCACAGCCGCCTCCACCTGACCCGGAGGCCATGCAGGAGCACTCACCGTCTGCCCGGCCTCGCCGTCATCCCCTTTGTCCCCAGGGGGGCCGTCCTGACCCTGCGGGGCGAGAGCGAGGTCCTGTCTCCGGACGGAACGGAGTCCGTCCCCAAACCCAAGCCGTCGAGGGGGCGGGACACAGCGGGTCAAAATGGGACCGTCTGCCTCTGACCCCTGTGGATGCCCCGGGAGGGCACGTGCCCAGAGGAGCTCAGGAATACCTCCCCCCGCCCCCAAAGAAAGCCGGGCTGCAGGCAGGTCAGCATCGCGGGGGACGCCGGCTCAGGGCCCCAGACCTACCGCGGGGCCGGGCTCTCCGGGGGGACCGGGGTCTCCGGGGAAACCGACGGGGCCCTGGAACGGAGAGGGAGGCACGTGCTGGCCTCAGCCCCGCCCAGCGACCTCCCGGCCAGCGCTGCGTGAGGCCGTCCCCACCCCACAGCCACCCTCCCCCCAAGCCCCCCTCCCCCGCCTCCCCTCCCTCCCCTCCCTTCCCTCCCCCACAGCCTCCCCCCCCACGGCCTCCCCCCCGCCCCCCCGCCCCCCCCCCGCCTCCCCTCCCTCCCCTCCCTTCCCTCCCCCACAGCCTCCCCCCCCCCACGGCCTCCCCCACGCCTCCCCTCCCCCCTGCCTCCCCTCCCCCACAACCTCCCCCCCCGCCCCCCCCCCCCCCCCCCCTCCCCCCCCCCCCCCCCCCCCCTTCTCCCCGGGAGCCCTTCTTGGGCGTCACCGAGCCCCCCAGGCGCTGGGGCGGGCGGCTCCCCAAGGCCATTCTCCGTCTGAGGCCCAGCCGGGCCCTGGCTTCCAGAACGTGCAGCTCCAGGCCTCCGAGGGGAGCCGGGGCGGGGGGGCAGCCACACGGGGCTCAGTGCCATCCAGCACGCTCCCTGCCCGCTCAGCTCCCCGCCCGGGCTCTGGTCAGGTGAGAGCGTCTCCCTAGCCGCCTCCCAGGGGCCCGTGGCGCGGGGGGATCGGGGACCAGGGCCCGGACGTGGGAGGGGGGATCGGGGACCAGGGCCCGGGCGTGGGAGGGGGGATCGGGGACCAGGGCCCGGACGTGGGAGGGAGGATCGGGGACCAGGGCTCGGACATGGGAGGGGAGATCGGGGACCAGGGCCCGGACGTGGGAGGGGGATCGGGGACCAGGGCCCGGGCGCGGGAGGGGGGATCAGGGACCAGGGCCCGGACGTGGGAGGGGGATCGGGGACCAGGGCCCGGACGTGGGAGGGAGATTGGGGACCAGGGCCCGGACGTGGGAGGGGGATCGGGGACCAGGGCCGGGCGCTGGAGGAGGGAACGGGGACCAGGGCCGGGCACGGACGTGGGCGCAAGCGAGCGGCTCAGTACTCACGGGGCTGCCCTTGGGGCCGTCGTCGCCGGGCGGGCCTTTGGGGCCGGGGGGTCCAGCAGCACCAGAGGGGCCGGCCTCGCCCTTCTCCCCCCTCTCGCCTTTGGGTCCCTGCAGGAAGGGGCCGTGAGCCCAGAGCGAATGCAGACGGGCCCTCGGGGGCCGGGGGGGGGAGGGGGGCAGCTCCCCGGGGAGCCAGCACGGACCTGAGGGCCCCTCCTCTGGGGTACACAGCTGGGGGGCAGCTGGATGCCAAGGAGGCCTCTGCCCCCCAGCCGCCTCCTGGGCCCCAAAGACCCCAGCAGCCGGAGGGGGTTCCCACTGACCGCAGGGATGGGTCCCTCCCGGGGCCGAGGAGGGGACACGGCCCACAGGACCCAGCCTACAGGACAGCCTGTGGAAAGGCCCGGAACGCCGGCCACCCAGCCACTGCTGCCGCCAGTCATACCTGCTGACGTCTGTCTGCACCCCCATACCCTCCCACACACATGTGCACACACGCAAGCACACACACGGGAACATCTACACATGCACACACGTCCGCCCTTTTTTGAGGTGGGCATGGAGGATCTGTGGCTCCGACTCCTGGACGGCACCCCGAGGCAGATGGCCCCCCCTGTACCGTGCGCCCCCTCACTCACCGGGGGCCCCCCTTCTCCGGGAAGGCCATGCTCGCCAGCTTCTCCAGGCTCGCCCTGCGGAGGACACAGGTCACATGGGGCCGGGAGCAGAGGCCCCAACACCGGGTTCTCACACTCACACACACACGCACACACACATGCACACACACATGCACAGACACGCGCGCACACACGCACACACACACTCATAGGACACGGGGTGTCGGGGGTCACCTTCTCCCCCACGGCTCCGGGGTTGCCGATTCCTCCGGGGGGCCCCTGCGGCCCGTCAGCTCCGGGCGCTCCGGAGGGCCCTCGGGGGCCGGGCGGGCCGGGCGGGCCCTAGGAGGAGAGAGCGTTGGGCGCGGGGAATGCCACGTGGCCGAAGGGAACCGCCGCACGGCCGGCCCACACTTACCATCTGGCCCACGTCCCCCGTCTCGCCCTTCTCTCCCGGCGGCCCCGGCAGGCCCTGCGGACAGAGGGTGAGCAGGGTGGGGCGGGGCGGGCAGGGGGACAGGGCAGAGCGCGGGCACGCTGAGGGGCACCCGCCATCGGACACGCTCCCCCCGTTACCTGCAGCCCCACGGGCCCAGGGGGCCCGGGGAACCCTCGTGGGCCTTCGTCCCCTTTCTGCCCGAAGAGGCCCTGCTGGCCGCGGGGCCCCGGCTCTCCGTCGGCTCCCTGTGGGGACGGGCGGGCGGGTGAGGCCTGCGTCCGGCTGCCCGCCGCCCGGGGGAGGGGCCGGGGCCTGAGCGGCCTGGACGCAGACACTCACCGAGGGGCCCGGCTGTCCGATGGGGCCTTGCGGGCCCGTGGGCCCTGGCGGACCCTGTGGGGACAGACGGACACGGATGTTTCCGGAGCCACGGCTGCAGCCCGCGGAGGGGCCGGCGGAGCAGGCGGGCGTCCGGGGAGCTCCGCGGGGTCCTCACCTGCTCTCCTTTGTCCCCCTTGCTGCCCTTCTGCCCCGGCTCCCCGAGCTCTCCCTGTGGGCGGAAGTGGAGGCCCGTCAGCCGGGACCGGGGGTCTGACCTGCTCCCGCCGCCCACTGGCCTCCGCGCCCAGGGTGACGGCCGTCCCCGCGGCTCAGCAGGTTCCGTCTTAACGTGCGCGCTGGGCCGGACGGCCCCACCGACACCACACGGACGCCGCGCCGACGGGAAACGGCGGCCAAATCCCAGCGGAAATATCTACTCCGCTTGTCCGGCCGTCTGACCACAGCGGGCACCGATTCCCCGCCCGCAGAGCCACCGCCTTCGGCCCCTGCGGGCGGCTGGCTCCACCTCCGAGGCGGGGCAGTGTCTGCAGCGAGCTGACGGCTCCAGCCACGTCCGCGGGAGGCGGCGCGGGAGGGGCAGCCGGAGAGCCAGCCCCGGTGTCCTTACCTTGTCCCCGTCTTCTCCGGGGGGGCCCACGGGGCCGGCCGGGCCGGGCAGCCCCACCGGACCCTGGAGGCCGTCGCGACCGGCGGGGCCTTGTGGGCCTTTCTCGCCCTGAAGGAGAGAAGACCCACGTCACACGTGTGTCAGCTCAGCCGCATGTCACATGCGTGTCAGCTCAGCCCCATGTCACACGCGTGTCAGCTCAGCCCCGGGAGGCCCGGGCAGGATGTGGGGCATGACGGGCCTGTCCGAGGGACGTCAGCCAGATTGGCTGAGGCCGCCCTCACCACCCCCACACCCCCGCTCCCGAGCAGCACTCGCACCGTCCGGGGAAACTGAGGTACCGTGGTGAGCAGCCAGGCCTGGATCCGGCCCCGGCCCAGCAGACCCCCGTGTGTGCACGTGTGTGTAATGTGTGAGTGTGGGTGGGTGTGCACATGGGTGTAATGTGAGTATGGGTGTGTGTGCACATGCATAATGTGTGTGAGTGTGTACATGTGTGTTTGGCAGGGAGGGTGTTGGCGGAGAGCGGAGGTAATGACGTTGCCGAGGCTGGAACTGGGCCCTCCCATCACACATCCCCCGTCTTCCCTCCACCCTGGCCCCGGCCCACCAGGACCTGCCCGTCCCAATGCCACCTCCCCCACAGGCAGGGCGTGCACACTGCAGGCGGTGCCCCCACGTGGCACCGGGCCTGGGCGGCCACTCTGGACACACCGTCCCAGCCCCCGTGCCGGCACGTGTTGGCACAGATGCGCAGGCGTGACGGCTGTTCTTGCCGGGAGCTGCCCACACCCTCCGGCTCAGGACACGCCGTGGAAGAACCTGGTCAACTCAGGGACCCGCCCCCGGACTCAGTCAGGACACGCCTGACCCTGCACACTCACCTGCACACACTCACCTGCACACACTCACTCACCTGCACACACTCACCTGCACACACTCACTCACCTGGAGGACCACCTCAAACGCCCCCCCCCAAACCGCCAGGTGAGGGGAACCCCCAGGTGAGGGAACCCCCAGGTGAGGGAACCCTCAGGTGAGGGAACCCCCAGGTGGGGGAACCTTTAGGTGAGGGAACCCCCAGGTGAGGGGGAACCCCCAGGTGAGGGAACCCCCAGGTGAGGGAACCCTCAGGTGGGGGAACCTTTAGGTGAGGGAACCTTTACGTGAGGGAACCCCTAGGTGGGGGAACCCCCAGGTGAGGGGGAGGTACTCACCGGCGCTCCTTTCTCGCCGGCGGGCCCCGGGGGTCCCTGGGGGCCAGGTCTGCCTGGAATCCCGATGGGCCCGGCAGCTCCGGCTGGCCCTCTCTCCCCGGGAGATCCCTGGGGCGGGCAGGAAAGGGGTTCATTTCCGGCTCCCCAGCGGCACACACAGACCCCTCAAGCACTGCGATCGCCCCCCTGCTCCAGAGCCCACGGGGGCTCCTGGTGCCTCCGCAGACTCTGGTCCTGCGTCTCCCCTGCCGCTCAGGACCAGCTCCTGTCCACCCCCGCCCGCCGCCTCTCCCCCCAGGACCCGCAGGCGGGCCCTGAGCCAGAGGACAGGGAGGCCTGGGCGCCGCACTCACCGCGGGGCCCGGCGGGCCGGGGGGGCCCTCGCTGCCCTTCAGTCCGAGCGCTCCCTGCAAGGCGTGGAGACGGGGTCACGTCGGGGTCAAGGGCACGGCGGGAGGGCGCCCGGCCGGGCAGTGTCCGCCCGTCCCCGCCGCCCCGCACTCACCACGGGGCCCGGGAGCCCGCGGTCCCCGGGGAAGCCGCGCAGTCCTGGGGGGCCGTCCTTCCCGGGCAGGCCGGCAGGGCCGGGGTCCCCCTGAAACAGAGCGCGGGCGGATGGGGCCGGCCACGGGTGCAGGAGGGGGACTGTGGGCGCGTGGCTTAGGAACCGGGCCGGACCGGACCGGGGTGGAAGCTCCGGGTCCTGGCGCGGCCCACACTGTGCCCTGGGCCCGTGGTCTGTCACGTCTGTTCTCTTGTCCCTCACGTGGGGGACTGTTTCCAGAAAACGTGGGCAGTGAGGGGTCAGGGCATCCGTGTGTGGCAGCGGGGGAGGAGCTGGAGACAGACCCTGCCCCAGGCCGAGAGCAAGGACGGCTGGACCCCCAGGCCCTTTAGGCCCAGCGCTGCGGCCGTCAGCCATCCCGTTCTCATCAAGCAGCAGCGGGCTGAGGTCAGGGTCAGGGCAGGGGGCTGGGCTCAGGGTCAGGGCAGGGGGCTGAGGTCAGGGTCAGGGTCAGGGTCAGGGCAGGGGGCTGGGCTCAGGGTCAGGGCAGGGGCTGAGGTCAGGGTCAGGGTCAGGGCAGGGGGCTGGGCTCAGGGTCAGGGCAGGGGGCTGAGGTCAGGGTCAGGGTCAGGGTCAGGGCAGGGGGCTGGGCTCAGGGTCAGGGCAGGGGGCTGGGCTCAGGGTCAGGGCAGGGGGCTGAGGTCAGGGTCAGGGTCAGGGTCAGGGTCAGGGCAGGGGGCTGGGCTCAGGGTCAGGGCAGGGGGCTGAGGTCAGGGTCAGGGTCAGGGTCAGGGCAGGGGGCTGGGCTCAGGGTCAGGGCAGGGGGCTGGGCTCAGGGTCAGGGCAGGGGGCTGAGGTCAGGGTCAGGGTCAGGGTCAGGGTCAGGGCAGGGGGCTGGGCTCAGGGTCAGGGCAGGGGGCTGAGGTCAGGGTCAGGGTCAGGGTCAGGGCAGGGGGCTGGGCTCAGGGTCAGGGCAGGGGGCTGGGCTCAGGGTCAGGGCAGGGGCTGAGGACAGGGTCAGGGCAGGGGGCTGGGCTCAGGGTCAGGGCAGGGGCTGAGGACAGGGTCAGGGCAGGGGGCTGGCCGGGGGCCTGTCTGAGAAATGACCATCCATCAGCGAGGAGCAGAGCAAACAGACCCTCGGCGATGGTCCTGGGAGAGGCTGCGTGGGAGGTCTGAGCACTCACCTTCGTCCCCTCCTTCCCGGCGAGGCCCGGGAGGCCCTGCTCGCCCGGCGGGCCCGGCGGCCCCGGGTGGCCACGCTCGCCCATCGGGCCCGTCTCTCCGGTGGGACCCTGTGGAAGACCGGCACCAGCCACATTTCAGGGGCGCCCAGGGGAGCCCCTCTGCTCCCCAACCTAAGGCGGCCCTGGCTGCGGAGCCGAGGCTCGCACAGTGACCCGGTGACGCTCTCACCTGAGGGCCGACCACGCCCGGGGGGCCCGGGGGGCCGGTCTTGCCTTGGAAACCCTGTGGAGAGAGTCGCAGCTGAGAGGGCTGCAGCGGCCCGTCCCCCCCCCCTCCCCCCCCAGCCTGTGCGGTTCCCACGGGCTGTCCCGCCCATCCATCCCCGCGGGTCCCCACGTTGGGGAGGACCGGTCCCGCCTCCGCGCGTGCGGGCTCCAGAAGGCCACGAAGCCGACTGGGCAGGTTCCCCTCTCCCTCCTGTGTGCGGGGGACGTGCTGTAACACCCTCCATGCGCCCGCCCGCCCGCCCGGCAGGGCCGCGGCTGAGCGTGGACCGGGCAGCAGGAGCTGTGGTTTGATTCCCGGTCAGGGCACAGTGGGGAGTGTGCAGGAGGCAGCGGACCCCTGATTCTCTCTCATCCTGGGTGTCTCTCTCTCTCCCTCTCCCTTCCTCTCTGAATCAATAAAAAGGTATTTTAAAAAAACTGCTCCTCGTTATAACGTCAGGGAACGGTTCATTTTCTGGGCAGATTCGATGCTGTTTCCAGCGTCCAGAGCTGGGCCAGGCGCGGCCGCTGGGCTGTGCCTCGTCACCGACGCGCGGGGACCCTGCTGCTCACGTGGCCAGCGCTCAGATCGGGCAGGGTCATGCTGCCCCCCCCCCCCTTAGCCAGGAGCGCAGGCTCCTTCCTGGCGCAGCGTCTGCGTGTGCCAGGCCCGCGTCCCCAATCTCCCATGTCTGCTCTGCACACGGGCACGCACACAACCACCCGCCTGAGCGCCATGGGCTCCTGTGGGGAGGCGGCGGGCAGGCCCCGGACGCCACAGTACCACGATCCGCCATGGTCAGCCACGCTCAGCCACTCTCTGCCACGCTCAGCCACTCTCTGCCATGCTCAGCCACTCTCTGCCACGCTCAGCCACGCTCAGCCACGCTCAGCCACTCTCTGCCATGCTCAGCCACGCTCAGCCACACTCAGCCACTCTCTGCCACGCTCAGCCACTCTCTGCCACACTCAGCCACGCTCAGCCACTCTCTGCCACGCTCAGCCACGCTCAGCCACTCTCTGCCATGCTCAGCCACGCTCAGCCACACTCCACCATGCCGGCCCGGCCTCCACGTTCCTGCGGGCTCCCTGCTTGGGCCCTGCTGGCTGCAGGCAGAGGCCATGCCATTTCTGGAGCAGCTTCCTCGGCGGGCGGCGCTGACAGGGTCAGACACGGGAGCCGACGAGCCCAGGGCCCTGCTCAGAGGCCAGGAGGGCCGGGGCTGGGGGGCGGGGGCAGGGAGCAAGAAAGGCCTGGCTTGGCCCTGGCCGGGGACCCCGTGCTGCCGAGGAGGGCATCGTCCCTCAGGGAGGAAGGGGGGAGAATGACCGTGTCTGCTGCTGGTTTCATTTTTATTTGTTGGTCCTCGCCCGAGGGTATTTTCATTGATTGTTAGGGAGAGTGAAGGGAGAGGGAGAGACAGAGAGAAACATCGGTGTGAGGGACACACATCCATGGCTGCCTCCTGCACGCGCCCCGACCGGGGCCCGGCCGGGAGGAGCCTGCCACCAAGGTGGGTGCCCTTGACCGGGATCGAACCCGGAGGGCCTCTCTGGTCTGCAGGCCGAAGCGCTAGCCGCTGAGCCACACCGGCCAGGGCTGCTTCCGTTTTTAAAGGAAGAACAAAGCCGCGCCCAGGAGGCCCCTGGGCTCCCCGGGGAGGCAGCGGTCAGGGGGTCTGGAGCGGGTGCCCTGCACCTGCGGGCGGCCGCGTGGCAGAGGCAGAGGCAGCGCCCGGGAGCCCGCGGCACAGACGGGCAGCGGCCGCCTGCCAGCCTCTCCGAAGGCCCCGGCAGGGGAGCTGCCCGTGCGAGCCCAGAGCAATGTTTTCATTTTCCCGTAAACCGAGAGCAGAGCAGCTTCCACCCATCAGCCCCGCGCCTCGGCAGGGGAAGGCGCGGGTAAATGCGGCTCCGTCACCGCCAGGGAGACGGGTTTAAAGCCGGCGCCGAGGAGCGGATCACACACACACCAACGCCGCCCGCCCGCCCGAGTGCTGGGCCCGCAGAGGGCGGACCGGCGAGGGGCTGCGGAGAGAGGAGAGCACGCGCGCGCCCGCACACACACACACACACACACACCCGCCCCCGCGTGCGGCCACACGGAGCTCCCAGGCCCTGTGAGTCTTGAACCCGCTGAGCCCGGAGCCTGGAGGTCACTGGTGAGCTCAAGGTCACTGTGTTCCCACTCCCACTGCTGGGACACGTCTGCCGTGGACACAGCGTGAAGCTGGACCGAACCCCAAGTGGCTCACGGCGGGGCGTCCCCGCCTCTCTCACACCTGGCCTGGCAGGGCCTTCCCCTCCAGACGCCAAGCCCACCACGGGCGTGGCGAAGGGCAGGGCAAGGTCAGAGGTCAGCCCGGCTGGCCCAGCCGCTGTCAGCGGCAGGCGGGCGAAGGGCCCTCCAGGCCCCCCCGTGGCCAGCCCCGCGGCCGGAAGGACCTGGCTGGACAGCCAGCGTTGGTGCCAGGCCCACGGCCCTTCTCCTGGGTTTCTGGTTGGTTTGTTCAGTTTTTGGTAATCCTCACCCGAGGATGTTCTTCCCATTGATTGTTAGAGAGAGTGGGGGGGGGGGGGGGAGGGAGGAAGGGGGAGAGGGAGAGGGAGAGAGGAACATGGATGTGAGAGAGACACCGCAATCAGGGCTGGAATGGAACCTGCAGCCAGGTAAGTGCCCTTGACTGGGAATCGAACCCTCAACCCTTCAGTGCACGGGCCAAGCTCTAACCACTGAACACACCGACCAGGACCTTCTCTGGGTTTTTCACTGAGAAGCAGCCGAGCGGCAGCCGGCCCTGGGAGCCCACTGCGTCCAGCGAGAGCACGAGGGAGGAGGCGGCCGCACAGGCTCAGGGTGCCCGGGCCTTTCCGTGTGACCTGACCCGGGGCGGCGCCCGCCTTCTGCAGAGACGTCCCGTGTGGCTGGCCTGCGTGGCCTCTCCCAGGCTGACCCCTCCCCGCGGCCCGGCCGTGCCCACAGCCCAACTCACCGTCTCGCCTCTCTGGCCGGGGTGTCCGGGGAGGCCGTCCTTGCCGGGGGGGCCCTGGGGAGAAGCGGGGGACGGTGCTCAGCGCTGAGGAGCCGCCGGCATCGGCCCCTCGAACCCGGTCAGGGTCAGAGGTCAGCTCCTTCCTAACCACAGCCCCGCGGGGCCCCGTTAGGCAAAAATCCCCTCACGAGACGGGTCTTCCTTCCCACGTGGACCTGGGCCCCCCCACACTGTCCCACAGTCCCAGCCACGGGGACGGGCGGGGCCTCGCTGGAGGGAGGGCATTGCTCATGGCCTCAGTCAGGGCCTGGCCGATGACCGGTGTCCTGGTGAAAACAGCTCTGAGGACTCGGCCACGGGAGGGGCGTGGGAGCCACGGGAGGGGCGTGGGAGCCGCGGGAGGGGCCCGTGGGAGCCGCGGGAGGGGCGGGGGAGCCACGGGAGGGGCGCGGGAGCCGCGGGAGGGGCCCGTGGGAGCCGCGGGAGGGCGCGCGGGAGCCACGGGAGGGGCTCGGGAGCCGCGGGAGGGGCGTGGGAGCCACGGGAGGGGCGTGGGAGCCGCGGGAGGGGCCCGTGGGAGCCGCGGGAGGGGCGCGGGAGCCGCGGGAGGGGCGTGGGAGCCGCGGGAGGGGCGTGGGAGCCACGGGAGGGCCCGTGGGAGCCACAGGGGAGGCCCGTGGGAGCCCTGGGAGAGGCCGGAGGGGATGAGGGTGAGACAGAGGGCGGCCTATGAGCCCAGCTGCCAGCAGCACCAGGGGCCGGGGCGGGGAGAGGGGCGCCCCCGGAGCCCTCAGGAGCGAGCCCTGCGCACGGGGATGGCACTTCGGCCGCCGGAGGGGGGGGCTCCTGGTTGCGTAGTGACCGGGACTGTGGTGCTTGGTGATGTGGCCCCGGGACCTGACGCAGAACCAGCCAGAAAGTCCACGGCCCAGAGGAGAAAGGGGCCCACGCCTCCCCAGGCGGCTCCCCTCCCTCACCCCCTCACCCCGACACCCCCTTCACCTCCCCCCTTCCCCCCTTCACCTCCCCCCTCCCCCCTTCACCTCCCCCCTTCACCTCACCCCGACCCCCCCTTCACCTCCTCCCTTCACCTCACCCCGACCCCCCTTCACCTCCCCCCTTCACCTCACCCCGCCCCCCCTTCACCTCCCCCCTTCACCTCACCCCGACCCCCCCCCTTCACCTCACCCCTTCACCTCACCCCTTCACCTCTCCCTTTCACCTCCCCCCTCCCCCCCTTCACCTCCCCCCTTCACCTCACCCCCGCGCAGGAGGGGCCGGTGGACGCAGCCGCGGCCGCTCCGCCTGCAGCCCGCGCCGGGGGCTCCCGCCCGCTGACCCACGGCCCACGTGGAGGCCACATGGGGTCCCCAAAACCCCGTGTACTTACAGGGGGGCCCTTGGGTCCAGGAAAGCCCGTCGGTCCTTGGGGTCCGTTTGGTCCCTGGGGACAGAGAAGGGCCAGTGTGAGGTCAGGCGGCCCCTCCCAGCAGTGGGGGCGGGGCCTCCCAGGGCCTCGGGGTCTGCTCTAGGCACAGGCCCAGTTCCTGCCACCCCCCACCTCTGCCCCATCAACCCCAGCCTCCCCCCCGGCTTCCCCTCACCCCCCGGGCCTGACGGAGGGCCAGCCGGGGCCCGGAGCGGGTCCCAGGGTGAGGCCCCCCCCGCCCCCCGGAGCAGAGGGGACCGGCCGGCCGGCGGCCCCTCCCGCCTGGACCCAGGTCCCTCCCCCGGCTCCTCGCCCGCGGGGGACTGCTCACCCGCTCACCCGGCGGGCCGGCCGGGCCGTCGCCTCCAGAGTTGCCCTGGAGGGAGCAAGGGAAGCGCGGATGTTGTGACCGTCTGACCGGAGCCTCTGCCACGGCCGGTCACTGCCCCCAGCCGTCACCCGCCCCCCTGCCCCAGTCACCCTCCCCCCAGCCCGTCACCCTCCCCCCCCGTGCCCCGTCATCCACCCCCATGCCCGTCACCCGCCCCCCTGCCCCAGTCACTCTCCCCCATGCCCGTCACCCTCCCCCATGCCCGTCACCCGCCCCCCCCCCGTGCCCCGTCATCCACCCCCCTGTGACCCGTCACCCTCCCCGTGTCTGTCACCCTCCCCGTGCCCGTCACCCTCCCTCCTGCCCCGTCACCCTCCCCCCTGCCCCGTCACCCTCCCCCCTGCCCCGTCACCCCCCCCTGCCCCAGTCACCCTCCCCCATGCCCGTCACCCGCCCTCCCCGTGCCCCGTCATCCACCTCCATGCCTGTCACCCTCCCCCCAGCCCGTCACCCGCTCCCCTGCCCCAGTCACCCTCCCCCATGCCCGTCACCACCCCCCTGTGCCCCGTCATCCACCCCCTGTGACCCGTCTCCCCGTGTCTGTCACCCTCCCCGTGCCCGTCACCCTCCCTCCTGCCCCGTCACCCTCCCCCCTGCCCCGTCACCCGCCCCCCTGCCCCATTACCCCCTCCCCCCTGCCCCGTCACCCCCCTGCCCCATCACCTGCCCCCGAGCCCCATCATCCCCCCCCCCCCCCCCCCCCGTGCGGGAACGTACCTTGGGCCCAGGCTTCCCCGTGATGCCCCGAGGGCCCCTCTCGCCCCGAGGGCCCTGCAAATGGGAGGGGAGAGAGGTCAGCTCACCCGGCTCCAACCCCCCCCTCCAAGCCCTCCCCCCACCCCCAATGGGCTCCCGTTTCTGAAGGGCCCTCGGCCCAAAGCGGGGGCAGTTACCGTCGGGCCTCGCTGCCCCCGTGGTCCCGGCTTCCCAGGGGTGCCCTGGAATGAAAGAGGGGCTCAGTCCGCGCCGAGGAGTCCCGGACCACAGGCCCCTCTGGAACCCGTCCCGGTTCTGACCACCGTCCGGGAAGGAGCCGGAGCTCCGGGCCCCCTGCCGAGTGGCCCCGAACGATAACCCCCGAGCTCAGCGCGCAGAGCCACGCCCGGCGGCCTGTCCTTACCCGGCCCCCCTTCTCGCCATTGGCGCCGGGGAATCCCGGAAATCCGATGGAGCCCTGGAAGAGAGGGGGAGGGCGAGCCTGAGGCTGGGCCAGAGCCAAGCTCTGCTGTGTGAGTCCCGGGACACCTGTCCCCACCCCAGCCTCCGACCCACACTCCTCCATCCACCACCATCTACCATCCATCCTCCATCCTTCCTTCCATCCATCCATCCATTCATCCATCCACCATCTACCATCCACCCACCATCTACCATCCATCCACCATCTACCATCCATTCTCCATCCTTCCTTCCATCCATCCATCCACCATCTACCATCCATCCTCCATCCTTCCTTCCATCCATCCATCCATCCATCCACCCACCATCCATCCATCCATCCACCCACCATCCATCCACTCACCATCCATCCATCCATCCATCATCCATCCATCCTTCAATCATCCATCCACCATCTACCATCCACCCACCATCTACCACCCACTCCCCACCCGCCCACCATCTACCATCCACCCACCATCCATCCATCCACCCATCCACTCACCATCCATCCATCCACCCATCATCCATCCATCCATCCATCCATCATCCATCCATCCATCCACCCACCATCCATCCACCCACCATCCATGCATCCATCTGTCATCCATTCATCATCTACCCATCCATCCATCCACCCATCATCCATCCATCCATCCATCCATCATCCATCCATCCATCCACCCACCATCCATCCACCCACCATCCATGCATCCATCTGTCATCCATTCATCATCTACCCACCCACCCATCCATCCACCTGCCATCCACTTCATGGACATTTCCTAAGCATTTCAAAGACTCCAAACCTAAAAACCAAAACTGAGTCCTGACCGTGTTTTCCCTCCCTCCTCCCTCCACACCCTCCTCTCACATGGCCGTGTCTCCAGAGAGCTGTGTTGGGAGAAAAGGAAACACCTATGACTAAGATTAGCTGGCGACAGCGTGTGACTCTCACTGCACCTGTTATCACGTTTGCTGTCTTCCGGAGCGCGCTAAATAAAGCGCGGCTGTGAGTCAGAAATGCCAATCACCACCACCTGGAGCCCAGCTCTGGCTACGTCACCCCAGGCCCCACACGTGCACAGAGGCAGAGCCCCACACAGTGCACGTGGACAGAGGGAGGGCCCCCGTGGACAGAGGGAGGGCCCCTGTGGACAGAGGGAGAGTCCCCACACAGTGCACGTGGACAGAGGGAGGGCCCCCGTGGACAGAGGGAGGGCCCCCGTGGACAGAGGGAGAGCCCCCCGTGGACAGAGGCAGAGCCCCACACAGTGCACGTGGACAGAGCGAGGGCCCCTGTGGACAGAGGGAGAGTCCCACGTGGACAGAGGGAGGGCCCCTGTGGACAGAGGGAGAGTCCCACGTGGACAGAGGGGAGAGTCCCACGTGGACAGAGGGAGGGCCCCCGTGGACAGAGGGAGGGCCCCACGTGGACAGAGGGGAGAGTCCCACGCGGACAGAGGGAGAGCCCCACGTGGACAGAGGGAGCGCCCCACACAGTGCACGTGGACAGAGCGAGGGCCCCTGTGGACAGAGGGAGAGTCCCACGTGGACAGAGGGAGGGCCCCTGTGGACAGAGGGAGAGTCCCACGTGGACAGAGGGAGAGCCCCCGTGGACAGAGGGGAGAGTCCCACGTGGACAGAGGGAGGGCCCCCGTGGACAGAGGGAGGGCCCCACGTGGACAGAGGGGAGAGTCCCACGTGGACAGAGGGAGAGCCCCACGTGGACAGAGGGAGAGCCCCACACAGTGCACGTGGACAGAGGGAGGGCCCCCGTGGACAGAGGGAGAGTCCCCCGCGGACAGAGGCAGAGCCCCACACAGTGCACGTAGACAGAGGGAGGGCCCCCCGTGGACAGAGGGAGAGCCCCCCGTGGACAGAGGGAGAGCCCCACACAGTGCACGTGGACAGAGGGAGGGCCCCCGTGGACAGAGGGAGAGTCCCACGTGGACAGAGGGAGGGCCCCCGTGGACAGAGGGGAGAGTCCCACGTGGACAGAGGGAGAGCCCCACGGGGACAGAGGGAGAGCCCCACACAGTGCACGTGGACAGAGGGAGGGCCCCCGTGGACAGAGGGAGGGCCCCCATGGACAGAGGGAGGGCCCCCGTGGACAGAGGGGAGAGTCCCACGTGGACAGAGGGAGAGCCCCACGCGTGCACAGAGGCAGAGCCCCACACAGTGCACGTGGACAGAGGGAGGGCCCCCGTGGACAGAGGGAGGGCCCCCATGGACAGAGGGAGGGCCCCCGTGGACAGAGGGAGGGTCCCCCGTGGACAGAGGGAGAGCCCCCGCGGACAGAGGGGGAGCCCCACACAGTGCACGTGGACAGAGGGAGGGCCCCCGTGGACAGAGGGAGGGCCCCGTGGACAGAGGGAGAGCCCCCGTGGACAGAGGGAGGGCCCCCCGTGGACAGAGGGAGAGCCCCCCGTGGACAGAGGGAGGGCCCACGTGGACAGAGGGAGAGCCCCACACAGTGCACGTGGACAGAGGGAGAGCCCCGTGGACAGAGGGAGGGCCCAACATGGACAGAGGGGAGAGCCCCCCGTGGACAGAGGGAGGGCCCCCGCGGACAGAGGAAGGGCCCCCGCGGACAGAGGGAGGGCCCCCGCGGACAGAGGGAGGGCCCCCGCGGACAGAGGGAGAGTCCCCCGCGGACAGAGGCAGAGCCCCACACAGTGCACGTGGACGGAGGGAGGGCCCCCGTGGACGGAGGGAGGGCCCCCGCGGACAGAGGGAGGGCCCCCGCGGACAGAGGGAGGGCCCCCGCGGACAGAGGGAGGGCCCCCCGTGGACAGAGGGAGGGCCCCCGTGGACAGAGGGAGGGCCCCCGCGGACAGAGGGAGGGCCCCCGCGGACAGAGGGAGAGCACTATCTGCGGGGCGGGCACTGGCGCTTCTCAGGGGGAACAGGGGCACAGAGCTGAGGGGTGCAGAGAGGGAGCCGCCTGAGCGTGGCTGACGTGAGGAGCTGCGTCTGCGTCTCCCGAGTGCGAGCACAGGACCTTCTGGTCCCGGGGGCGTCCGAGCCCGCGGCTCCCCCTGAGCTCGGGGTGCAGAACCCGAGGCAGAGGTGCCCCATCTCGGCTGCGTGTCCCTCCTCTGACGCCACTCACTGCCCCAGCACCTCCGTCCCCTGCGGCCACGTCCCCGCCACGGGCAGCACGAGTGGAGCTGACACAGCGGCACGGGCCTCTGTGTCACGGCAGCCGCCCGCGAAGGGCCGATGCCGGCGGGGCGGGGGCGGGGGCGGGGGAGGCCGGTGCCAATGCCCCGGGCGGGAGGGGAGGGCTCGGTGGTACGTTACCTTCGGCCCTTGCCGGCCGGGGTAGCCCGGGAGCCCGGGGACGCCGAGCTTTCCCTGCGGAGAGAGGCTGTGTCAGGGGCCGCACGGCGTTTCTGACCGGAAGGACACGGTCCACGGGAGCCCCTGCCGGGCCGGGCCGGACATCCTCCCGCCCTGATGTGAAAGCACAGCCCCGCCCGCCCGGCCGCGTGGCTCCGGCTGAGCATCGACCTGGGCGCCAGGAGGTCAGGGTTCGATTCCCGGTCGGCACAGGCCGGTGGCGGGCCCTTGCCCCGTGCGGGCGGGCGGAGCGTCGGAGGAAGCCGGTGGGACGGGAGCCGTGTCGGGAGCCACAGCGCCCAGGTCCGGGGGCTCAGCCTGACCCGGTCCCCAGCCCGCGCCCGGCCGTCGAGCGGCCCTCCGGCCACAGGAAGTGCCGCCCTCGCCTGCGCACGTACCTTCTCCCCAGAGGGGCCCAGCGGACCGGGGTCGCCGTTCGGGCCGCCGCGTCCCTTGGGGCCTTCGGGGCCGTCCTCCCCTCGGGGGCCCGGGGGCCCGATCTCCCCCTGCCGGTCAGAAAGAGAGGGTGAGGGGCCGCCGTGGGCACCCCCACAGGGGACCCCACAGCTCGGCCACGGGCTCCCGAATCCGCCGCCTCCTCCTGTGGTGGCGAGGCCGGGCCCCTCCCTCCGGCAGAGCTTCCGGCCGCACCCACTCCCAGCACAACCCCCCCCCCCCCAGTGAACGACTCTGCAGCCCAGAACTGGTCCGGCTGAGCACTGGGCAGGTGCAGGCCGAGGGGGGAGAGCACACGGTGACCCCGGTCACCAGGAGGTCACCCCAGGGGCAGCGGAGAGCTGCAACCAGGAATCCTCAGAGGCGTCCCCCGCCCCCGCTCTGAGAAGCCGCCCCGTGGGCCCCCCAGACTTCCTGCGGGTACTCACCCGGTCCCCCTTGATGCCCATGTCTCCTTTGAACCCCGGGAAGCCGTCTTCGCCCTGGACAGCGAGAGAGGGGACCGTCTCCACGCAGGAACCCACGCCCGATGGCTCCCCCACCACACACGCCACGGGCCACGGGCCACGGCCCACGGCCCCGCCCCGCGCTGGGCACGCTGGAGGGAGGGTCCGAGACCCGTCCCCTGACCCGTGACATGTGTCCATCCCCGTGACGTGTGTCCATCCCCTGTGATGTGTGTCCATCCCGTGACGTGTCCACCCCGTGATGTGTGTTCACCCATGTGACATGTGTCCATCCCCGTGACGTGTGTCCATCCCCGTGACGTGTGTCCATCCCCTGTGACGTGTGTCCATACCCGTGACGTGTGTCCATCCCGTGACGTGTCCACCCCGTGACGTGTGTCCATCCCCCGTGATGTGTGTCCATCCCGTGACGTGTGTTCACCCATGTGACCTGTGTCCATCCCCGTGACGTGTGTCCATCCCGTGACCTGTGTCCATGCTTTGCATTCCCAGGGACGGAGCTCGAGGGCCAGGCCGGCTCAGCACCGCAGCGGTCGGCCCCCGGGGACCCGCAGGCCGCCCCCTGGGCGGAGCGGCCCTGTGGCCTGTGTGCCATCTCGGTGGGCGCCGTGCCCGCTGTGGGCCCGGGGCAGCGGCGTGCCCAGCTGAGGTGGGGGCGGGAGGGCCGTCTCCCCGGGGACGGGGCGGCTCTGGAAGGAGGGGGAGCGCCAAGGGGCCGGCCGAGGGCCAGCAGGCCCGAGGTGCACGACACAGGCTGCCCGGCCGGGCGGGCGGCACGCCGCGGGGACCGGGAGCCGGCGGGGAGACCTGACAGCGGGCCGGCTGGGGCGGGCGGGCCGCCGGGAGGAGGGACTCACCTTCTCGCCCTTCGTGCCCTTCAGTCCACGGATGCCGTCCGCCCCCTGCGCAGACGGGAGGGGGAGCGTCTCACCCAGAGCCTCGCTGGACCCGGGTCCGAGCCCCCCCAGCTCACACCGCCAGTCCGTCCCCGCGCCGGCGTCTGAGCAGGCGCCGCGGCCCGGCTGCCAGCGGCCTCCTGCGGCAGCACTCCGAGCCCACGGGGCAGTCTGGCCCTCTGTCCGCGGACAGGGCCGAGACCAGGTGGAGAGACGGAGGGATGGGCTCGGACAGACAGACAGGAGATGGCCCGGCCCCGCCCGGAGCCTGTCCCCCCGCGGTGAGGAGCCCGGGGCCAGGAGGCACCGTCCGCCATCCGCGTCGTCATGGACGCACGGGGACTGTCCGGCTCCGGAGCTGCCCTCCCGGCTCCGTGCTCACGCCCTGCCCGGCTCAGGCCCCGGCCGGGCCCGGGCCCACACGCAGACGGGGGACCGGCCGCTCCCGTCGGCGGCAGCAGGGAGGGGACCCGGAGGGATTCCGAAAACGGACACGCGCGCCGGCAGACCCAGCCCCGCCCCCAACCACCCACGGGGAGCCTCACCTTGACTCCTCGGGGGCCGGGGTAGCCGATGGGGCCCTGGGGGCCAGGGGGGCCCTGCAGCCAAGGGAGAGACCATTAGCGCCTCTTGGGGGCGGGGCCTGTGGTCAGACCCGGAGGGGCCACAGGAAGACACAGGCCGGTGCCACGGCCACGCACCAGCCCCGGCAAAGGCAGGCACAGGCCGTGTCCCCGGGACGAGCCATGGCCAGGCGCCCTGGGGCCACGCCCGGCCTCGTGCCGGGAAAGTGGTGGGAATCGGGGGCGAGCTGCCATTGCACAGACCCGCGAGGGGCCTGGAGCAGCACGGAGCCCGCGGCGGGAGCAGGCGGGCGGGCGGGCGGCCCACGGAGGGGGGTCCTCGAACTGCACACACACCCCCACAGGTAGAAACCGGGGGTGTCCCATGGCAGGGGGAGGGCGCAGCTGCCCGCCTCCCTTCTGAGCGGTGGGCGGGCCCAGGCGACAGCCCCAGGCCGTCCTGCAGGGGGCGCCCAGGCCGGAGCGCGGCTGCACCCACCTGGGTTCCTTTCTCTCCGGGGGGGCCCTCTTTGCCAGGGTGCCCCTGTGGGAAAGAGAAGCCGCGTTAGTGGGTGGGGTGCCCCCTCCCCACCATCCTCTCCCCTGTGCAGGCGGTCTGCAGTGAGAGTCAGAGCCAGCCCGGCCGGGTCCCGCCCACTCCTTCCCTGCACACACACACACACACACACACACACACACACACACACTGGCGCGCCCGCCCCCCTCGCCCCCGCGGACAATCTGCCACGGCACTGTTCCCGGCAGCACAGCTCGGCCACAGCTGTGCCCCACGTGGCGGGCTCCTGCTCACACCCTCCGCGGCGCGTGAGCCCCAAAATACACTCACAGACGCCTCCTCCTTCCAAACGGGGACACGGGCCCGCCTGCGCCAGCCCCGCCCCCGAGGGAAGCTGCGAGGCTGGGTCCCCACGTCCCCACTCCCACGGTCACCGCCCGGGGGACACACGTTCCGGACAGCGGGCCCAGCGCGGCCTCGGAGCGGTCCGGTCCGGCTGTCTCCGGGGCGGGCGGTGAGTGACAGCCCTCCCTGGGCCGTGACGGGGAGCGGCCAGCGGGTACTCACCGGGGGTCCGTCGGCGCCCGGCATTCCTGGGAGGCCCGGCTTCCCCAGGGGGCCCTGGAACAGAGCAGACCATGAGCAGGCGCCGGCTCCCAGCTGCCCCCCTGCTCTGCACGCCCCCATGGGGCACCCCCTTTCTGCTCAGAGACCACTGCTGAACGGGAGGCCCAGAGGCAGTCCCCACCGTTGGCCTGGAAGTTTCCGGCACACGGAGCACGGCCAGGCCGGTCAGCCTGCTGCCCCAGGGCCTTCGGGTGCTGCAACCGGAACAAACGCCTGGCCAGGTGGGGGCAGCACCCCAGGTGGGGGCAGCACCCCAGGGAGGGGCAGGCCTGGCCAGGTTCAAATGTAATGGGGCCCCCATGTTTACTCTTCTTCCTAACCTGGTCGCCCTACACAAGGCTAGAGAGTGAATGAATGAGGGAGTGAGCGAGAGAGTGAGTGAATGAATGAGAGAGTGAATGAATGAGGGAGTGAGCGAGAGAGTGAGTGAATGAATGAGAGGTGAATGAATGAGGGAGTGAGCGAGAGAGTGAGTGAATGAATGAGAGTGAATAAATGAGGGAGTGAGCGAGAGAGTGAGTGAATGAATGAGAGAGTGAATGAATGAGGGAGTGAGCGAGAGAGTGAGTGAATGAATGAGAGGTGAATGAATGAGGGAGTGAGCGAGAGAGTGAGTGAATGAATGCGGGAGTGAGCGAGAGAGTGAGTGAATGAATGAGAGGTGAATGAATGAGGGAGTGAGCGAGAGGTGAGTGAATGACAAAGATCCACGGCCTCTGGCCTGCGTGCCTCAGCCTTCCCCACTCCGGGAGGACAAAGCTCGCACGCCCAGCTGGCGATGCCCAGTGCCCTCCCGGCCTGGACCACACCTGCACCCGCAGGCCGGCGAGGGTGCCTGCACCCAGCCCGGCCACCTACCTTCTCTCCTGGAGGCCCGATGGCGCCCTGGGGGCCTGGCAGGCCCTGGGGAGGGGAGAGCAGGCCGAGGTCAGAAAGGGGTGTCTGGGAACCTCCCCCCCACGGACCCTCCCCCCAACTGCCCCCCTCCCCCACGGCCCCTCTCCCCCACAGCCCCTCTCCCCCATTGCCCCCTCCTCCCCAACACCCACCTTCCCCCTCTCACCCACCTCCCTCCCAGGTCCCCTTCTCCCTAACACCCACCTTCCCCCTCACCCACCTCCCCACCGGCCCCCCTTAGGCCCCCATCGCCCCCCTCCCCCCTCCCTCTCCTCCCGCACCTGCCGGTTCCAGCCCACCTCCAGGCAGCAGCCCCTTCAGGCGGCCAGCAGGGGGCAGCTCAGGGAACCAGCCCCACCCGCTTACCTGGGCGCCGGGGTTGCCCTGCTGTCCGGGGGGGCCGGGCTCTCCCTGGGGACCCTGCAGGCAGCGGAAGCAGAGCCATGAAGGGGGCTCTGGAGGGCGGGCCGGGTCTGCACCCCTCCTTTGGGGGCCCGGTCCCCCCTATCCTGGCCTCCGTCCTTCCAGTCTGTCCCCTGCGGATGCCAGCGCCCAGGAGGCTGCCCCCGGGAAAGGCCGGCGGCCCAGGCCAGCGCCCGCAGGCCCACCCCGGCCGAGCCCCCTGCTCTGGAACGCAGCCCAGTCCACCACCGGGAGGGCAGTGCCCGAAGTGTCCACCGGCAGGAAGTCCCCCCCCGGCCGGCCGCCAGCGCCCCGGGACCGCGGGGGCCGGGGGGGGGGATCGGGGGGCTGCCCACCCCCTCCCCCGCAGTGAGGGGGACCCCCCGCTGGGCTGGCCGGCCCGGCTGGAGCGGGCTCTCCCGGGGGGCTGCCCAGTGGAGGCCCGGGCCCAGGCGGGCTCCTCTCACCGCCCGTCTGGTGGGGGGATGGCATCGCCCTGGCTGGGAGAGGACCCGCAGACTTACCACGTTCCCTTTGGGGCCTGGCTGGCCGTCCATCCCCGTCACGCCCTGAGGAGAGGAAGCGGGGCTGAATGTGGGAGAAGGCCCGCTCCCCGCTCGGCCCGGCCGCCGGGCCACAGGACGCGCGGCCTCGGGAGGGGCAGCCGTGGCCCCAGGCAAACCCCCAGGCTTGATGGGCCCGGGGTACAGAGCTGGGCCCCGCGGTGGGCGCAGCCCCGCGTTCACCGGAAGCAGGTGAGCCCAGGGCGGAGGGCCGGCCCTGGGGAAGCCGCCCTGGAGCCAAGCGCTTCTCCCTCCTTCCAGAACTTCCAGAAGCTGCTGGAAGTGCTGTCTAGCAGGGAGCACGTGGCGTCCGGATCAGTGTTTATAACAGCACACGTGTGTGAGAACCGGGGTTTATACTGTACACGTGTGTGTGAAAACAGGGGTCTATAACAGCACACGTTTGTGCGTGAGGACAGGAGTCTATAACAACACACGTGTGTGCGTGAGAACAGGGGTCTATAACAGCACACGTGTGTGCGTGAGGACAGGGGTCTATAACAGCACACGTGTGTGCGTGAGGACAGGGGTCTATAACAGCACACGTGTGTGCGTGAGGACAGGGGTCTATAACAGCACACGTGTGTGCGTGAGGACAGGGGTCTATAACAGCACACGTGTGTGCGTGAGGACAGGGGTCTATAACAGCACACGTGTGTGCGTGAGGACAGGGGTCTATAACAGCACACGTGTGTGCGTGAGGACAGGGGTCTATAACAGCACACGTGTGTGCGTGAGGAAGGGCTGTCACGCCAGCTGGCTCTGGCCGCCCGCACCCTGGCTCTGGGAGCGGTGAGCCAGCCCGGCGGTCAGCGCGGGAGCCAGCGGTTGGAATGCCTGGGGGGCTGCGGGGCGACGGTGGGACAGACACACGAGCAGGGACAGGACTTACGGGAGGTCCCGGGGGGCCCGGGGGGCCCTTCGGCCCCAGCAGCCCGCGCGGCCCCTGGAAGGGAGAGAGCACAGGTGATGCGGACTCGGCCGGGGTCCGCCTCTGCCACCCCTCCTCCCGGCACAGACCCTGCTGCCCGTCCAGGCCATGCCGCCGGCTGCCACGCAGCTCTCCGCGCTGCCAGGGGGCGTGGCCAGCACCCGCTCTGCCCGCCCCTCTCCTCCCGCCTCTCCACGGGGACCGGAGCAGATGGGACTCCGATGGGCGCCATGGGTGCCTCGGGGAGAGGGGCCTCACTCCCAAGCCCGGGGCAGCCCTCGGCGTGTCTGGGCCAGGCGCCCGCGGGGCAGGGCAGGGCGGAGGCGGCCTCGGGTCTCGGGGCCCGTGGCCGCGCTGTCCCCCGGCCCAGGCAGCGAGGGCAGGTGTGGGAACAGATCTGAGCGGCCGCTCGGCGCCCGCCGCCCCCGTGGCTCCCGCCCCGGACCCCAGCGAGCTGGCGCCTGGGCCGAGGCGCCCGATGTCACGGCCACAGGGGGCCCAGCTGCGGGCGCCGTGAGAAGGCCCGGCCACGCTCCTGCCTTCGCGGCTGGAATCCTCGCCAGCGCTCAGCGCCCTGCTCTGGGGCTCAGGGCCCGGGGGGACCCCGGACGTGCGAGGAGCGTGACGCCCCTCCCGGCTGGTCCCCGCCCCGAAGAGGACCCGGAACCCCGTCAGCACTCACCGGCTCCCCGGGCAGCCCTCGGGGCCCGACCTCTCCGTCGTCACCCTGCAGGGAGCGGGGCGGGTTAGCCCGGACGTGTGTGCACACAGAGACACGCGCACACACACACACACACACACACGTGAACTCCAGTGCGCCGGCCCACGCCCCAGCCTCTGCCCTCCCGCCCCGGCCAGTCACCCCCAGACTGCCCACCCGAGCTCCGCCCCTCGCCACCTGCGGACTCCCCTCCTCCCAGCGACTCCCCCCAACCCCCTTCCACCCCCGCCCGCCTCCCCTCCCCTCCGGGCACCGGTCCCGCAGGAGGGGCTCCGGGGCCTGACGCCCATCAGCAGGAAGGAGGAGGGTCTACATCTGCCGGGGGTTGTTGTCTGGGCTCCGAGCTCCCCCCACGGTCCCGTCCGCCCCGCCCCTGCTCCCCCCACGGTCCGCCCGCCCCGCCCCTGCTCCCCCCATGGTCCACCTGTCCCGCCCCCAGTTCCCCCCGTCCTGCCTGTCCCGCTCCCCAGCTCCTCCCATTGTCCCTCCTGCCCCGCCCACTCTCCACACCGTGTCCCTCCACCGACCAGGTGCCACCTCACTCCCCCGCCAAGCCCGGAGGAGAGGGCAGGCGGGGACGAGGCCGGGGTACGTACCCGGTCTCCGTCTTCTCCGGGGGGTCCCGGGGGGCCCGAGGGACCAGGGTCACCCTGGAAGCCAACCAGAGCCAGGTGAGCGCCCGGAGCCGGCCACACAGGCCTGCCCCGCCCCCGTGGCTTCTCCCACCCCACGCAGCCCCTCGGGGAGTCGGGGGGGGGACCTGCAGGAGATGGTGAGGCCTGGCCGGCTCCCCGGCAGAGACTGGCCCCGGAACCCTGTGCCCACCCCAGACACCCACCGAGTCCCAGCCTGCGCCCCCCACTGGCCCTCCGTGATGGCCGCCCTCGGCGCGCCTCCACCAGCACAGCCTCACGTCCATGGCCCCCGGGGGGCGCCTCAGCGGCCACGTTGGAGTCAAGGGCCCTGCCGCACGCACCCCAGCAACCTGAGGCGGGAAGGGCCTCCGAGACCCGGCCTGCCCCGCGCAGACCGCCGGGACCTCGGGCTGGGTGCTCCCTCCCCCCTCCCCGGCCTCCTCCCCGCCCCCTCCCCGCACTCACCCGGTGGCCCTTCTCTCCGGGCAGCCCCGCCAGCCCGTCGAAGCCGCGGTCACCCTGGGGAGGACAGGCTGCTCCGGCCACACCGACGGGACCTGTGTGCCCCTGGCCTGGGCCCGCACCCCCAGCTCCCCCCTCCCCCCCCCCGTCCCAGGCCACCCTACTGCTCACCCCCCTGAGGAGCAGTCTGCCCCACACTCACTGACCACGTGCTCACGGAACTCACCGCCAACCCCGGACCACGGACCGACTGACCCCGGTCAGGGCCGTGCCGGGGCCAGTGGAACCCTAACAGGACCCCCTCCCTCTGACCCCGCCCCCATGGGGTGAGCATTGCTGCCTGCCCCCATAGCCACGCCCGTCACTGTAACCGGCGTGCCCGCCACGTCACCGGCACAGGACTCGGGGCCCTGCGTGGCGCCTACCTTGGGGCCGGTCTGGCCAGGCATCCCTCTCGCACCGTCACTGCCAGCCCGGCCCTGGAACACACGGCGAAGGGTCAGCCCGAGCGGCTCCTGATGGAGCCGAGGACAGTGCCAGCCCGACGGCCAGACCCTGCATCCGGGCCGGACCCTCCCGCTCTGCTCCCCGGCCTCGCCCCCGGGACGGCCGGCCGGGCGAGGCCACGCGCCCTCTGTGCTGGGAGGCGATGGGGCGGGGCGGCAGGCGAGGCCTCTCGGGAGGGGGGAGAGGGACCACAGGGCCAGGTCCGCCTGGGTTGGCCGGCCGGGACTCGGGAGCAGGGCAGGGGAGGGGCACGGGGCGGGAGCGAGGGCCCTGACAGCCGTCCCGCGCAGCTCCTTCTCGCCGCTCAGATTCCGGCTGAAGCCGGTGCTCAGGCCCGGCCACGCGGCTCAGGGGCGGAGCATCGCCTGTGAACCCGGACGGAGGTCCCAGTGCCACTCCCGGGCGGGCACAGGCCCGGGTGCAGGCTCCATGCCCCATGGGGGCGTGCAGGAGGCGGCCGGTCCACGATTCTCCCTCACCCTCCATGTTTCTCTCCCTCCCTCTCCCCTCCTCTCTGACTTCAACCAAAACAGACTTTTGAACACGTTTGTTAAACTCACTGCGCAAGCTCAGGACGGAGGCCGGGAGGCCGGGAGGCCAAGGCCGGCCAGTCCTGGGGGAGGCACCGCGGGCTCGGCTCGCCAGGGACGGGGACCGGCAGGGGACGGCCATGCCTGGGACACGGGAGGCGGCCCCCGGCTCCCCGGCCGCGCCCGCTCGGGGAGCGTGGAGGCCCAGGCTCGGACCCGCCCCGTCGGTGCCCAGCCGGTCAGGGGCCAGGAAACACTCACCCTTCGTCCAGGCTTTCCGGTCGGGCCGGGCGGGCCCTGCACCCCTCGGGGGCCCTGTCCGAGGTCAGAGGGCAAAGGTCAGTTCCTGCCCAGTGGTCTCAGAGACAAAAGCAGACTCTCGTCCCTGTGGCTTGTCCCCCTGGCTGCACCCACCCTGGGACAGGGCAAGGGACTCGCCGCCGAGGGAGGGCCGGGCAGGGGAGCGCCTGCCGCCGCCCGCCGGGGTCACCCGTGCTTCCGGTCCCTCCAGCTTCCCACCACGCACAACACCCACGGACGTCCCCCCCCGCACCCCGAGTCAGCCGCCCCCTGAGACGCCCCTCAGAGACCCAGCCGGGGCCCACGCACCTGCGGGCCCATGTCGCCCGGCTCGCCCTTCAGGCCTCCGCTCCCGGGGGGGCCCTGTGGGGACACGGCGGTTAGGGACGCAGGGGTAACGGCTGCGGGGGGCGGGGTTGGGGTCCCCCGTGGACAGGGCTCCCCGTGGGGGCGGAGACCCAGCCCTGCCCGCCTGGGACCGAGGGCTCATGGTTTGGGTCTCTTCCTGTTTCCATGGAAACTGTGGACAGTGGGGACCAGAGCCGCAGAGCCACGGTGACCTTGGGGGTGAACTTGACCATGGGGGCCGGGGGGCAGTCTGTGGCTCAGGCGTGTGTGAACATCCCAGGGCCCTCAGCCAGGCAGGACGCAGAGGGCGCCCGGGCCACGCCCCCGGGCAGCGCTGAGTGTAAGGGGGGGGGCGCGGGGGGGCGGGGGGAGGCGGGAAGGGAGCACTCACATCCCTCTCCCGGGAACGGCGATGGGGACACGGGCCCACACACGGCACCCGGCTGCCCCCGAAAGGAGGGCCCAGACCCGGGCAGAGCCGCAGCTGATGCCAGACCCACGCTGGCCCCAGCACCAGGGCTGCTCCCACCAGCCACAGCCTGCTCCCCGCCGGGACTTACCACGGGGCCGGGCCTCCCGGTCAGACCCATGGGGCCGGCCGGGCCCCTCAACGCCAGCTGCAAGAGAAGACGGGGTGGCTGAGCGGCGAGTGGCCGCCAGGGCCAGGGCCCAGAGCCGATGGGGCAGGGAGGCCGGGGCAGGGGGAGGCCGGGCAGGGGGAGGCCGGGGCAGGGGAGGCCGGGGCAGGGGGAGGCTGGGTCAGGGGGAGGCCAGGGCAGGAGGAGGCCAGGGCAGGGAGGCTGGGGAAGGGGGAGGCTGGGGCAGGGGAGGCCGGGGCAGGGGAGGCCGGGGCAGGGAGGCTGGGGCAGGGGAGGCTGGGGAAGGGGGAGGCTGGGGCCGGAACCGCTGGGGCAGAGGTGGCTCGCTGAGAGGTGGTCGGAGGCAGCCCAGAGCCACCCTTGGGCCCCTCTGGGCTCCCACGCCAGCCGGAGAGACGGGACAGGAACAACGAGGCGGTGGACCAGGTGGTGCCTCTCCCTCTGGGGAGGGCGCTCCTCCCGTGGGTGCTCAGAGCTCGTGCTGACCGCCCGGCCCCCAGCCCCCTCCCGGCTGGACGGAGGGGCGTGCGTCCCACACGCTGCTCCGGCTGGGCAGCGTTTTGTTCCCAGGCGTCTGGCGCCCTCCGGTGGCTGGAGAGCCTTCAGCCGGGGAGCCGCCACCAGCAGACACGGGGTGTGTGTGTGTGTGTGTGTGTGTGTGCGCGCACATGTCTACTCCCGACCCGCCCGCCCCCCAGTCAGCCTGCCCGCCCCATGGGGACTGCGCCCACCCCCCACCCCTGCCCACAAGGAGCCATGTCCTGCAGGAAGAGGCTCTGTGCCCCCCGTGCCACACCCCCAGGCCCCCACTCACCCAGCCCCACCCCCAGGCCCCCACTCACCCGGCCCCACCCCCAGGCCCCCACTCACCCGGCCCCACCCCCCACCCCCGGACCCCACTCACCCACACCCCACCCCCCACTCCCCAGGCCCCCACTCACCCGGCCCCACCCCCCACCCCCGACCCCACACACCCACACCCCACCCCCCGGACCCCACTCACCCAGCCCCACCCCGGACCCCACTCACCCACACCCCACCCCCAGGACCCCCACTCACCCGGCCCCACCCCCGGACCCCACTCACCCGGCCCCACCCCCCGGACCCCACTCACCCACCCCCCACCCCCCGGACCCCACTCACCCGGCCCCACCCCCGGACCCCACTCACCCACACCCCCCCCCCAGGACCCCCACTCACCCACACCCCACCCCCCACCCCCTGGACCCCACTCACCCGGCCCCACCCCCCGGACCCCACTCACCCACCCCCCACCCCCGGACCCCACTCACCCACACCCCACCCCCCACCCCCCGGACCCCACTCACCCGGCCCCACCCCCGGACCCCACTCACCCGCGCCTGCTGCAGGATGGCTTGGGCCTGGGACTCCTGGGCGGAGACCATGGGGCCTTTGGATCCGGCATCGCCGCCCCCTCCGAAGCGGAACTGCGGGGGAGGCGGGCCATCGGTGCCTGTGGGCGCCACACCGGGCCCCGGCCGGGGACGTGCATCCTCGCAGGTCTGCCAGGGCGGCTGCTACCCCTCCGTGCACGCCGCCCGGCCACATGCTCTCCCCGAGGCCTGGGCCCCCAGGGAGATGCCCATGACCTTCCCCACACGGTCACAGGCAGGGCGAGCTCAGGGGACCTGCTGGCAACCTCGCCCACTCGGGGCCCAAGTGGTGACGGGGTGTTGCCAGCAGCAGCTCAGCTCTCCTCCAGGGCCTGACCCCACGCCCGCTGAGGGGCACCCGGGCGCCCCTGGGGTCCACTCCTCTGCGAAGGCCCCTCTCCCCCGCCAGGAGCCTGCCTGCCGGACACGGCGTCCTGGTTGGGGCAAGTCTGGGGCCAGATTGTCCCCCTCAGAAACAGAGCCCGGGCCCACGCCCCATCGGCCACAGCCTCCCATTGGCCACGCCCCCATCGCCCCCCCCCCCCAGCCAGGTACTCACGGGCAGCATGAGCATGGTCCCGGGGGGGCCGGGCAGCCCGTCAGCCCCCGGCAGGCCTGGGCGCCCAGGGGGGCCCTGTGGACAGAGGGGGCAGGGTGGTCAGAGCGCAGTGGGACGGAGCTGGGCCGGGGGGGGGGCCACGGCCAGCTGGAAAGACATGGACCAGCACAGAGCAATGTAGGGCCTGAGGCTGGAACATTCCAGAGCCCAGGCCGGAGCAGGGGTGTCGCTTGGGGTGGGGTGGGGAGGTGCTCCGGGCGGGTCCAGAGAGGCGAAGCCCCGGAGGTCAGGGATGGAGCATCGGGGCGTCCACCCTGAGGCACCCCTTCCAGGTCTCCTCCCAAACCGGACGGAGGCAGAGCCGGCCGCTGCTCAGAGCGACTCCTCTGGGCTGTCACCGAGGGCCATCTGCACCCTGTCTGTGTGGGGCTGCCAGAGGGAAGGGGTCAACATGGCCACCTGCTCCGACAGACACGGGGAGCACCTGCTCAGACACGGGGAGCACCTGCTCCGACAGACACGGGGAGCCCCTGCTCAGACACGGGGAGCACCTGCTCAGACAGACACGGGGAGCATCTGCTCAGACAGACACAGGGAGCACCTGCTCCGACAGACACGGGGAGCACCTGCTCAGACACGGGGAGCACCTGCTCCGACAGACACGGGGAGCACCTGCTCAGACAGACACGGGGAGCACCTGCTCAGACACGGGGAGCACCTGCTCAGACAGACACGGGGAGCACCTGCTCAGACACACGGGGAGCCCCTGCTCCGACAGACACGGGGAGCCCCTGCTCAGACAGACACGGGGAGCCCCTGCTCCGACAGACACAGGGAGCACCTGCTCCGACAGACACGGGGAGCATCTGCTCAGACAGACACGGGGAGCACCTGCTCAGACACGGGGAGCACCTGCTCAGACACGGGGAGCCCCTGCTCAGACACACGGGGAGCACCTGCTCAGACACGGGGAGCACCTGCTCCGACAGACACGGGGAGCCCCTGCTCAGACACGGGGAGCACCTGCTCAGACACGGGGAGCCCCTGCTCAGACACACGGGGAGCCCCTGCTCCGACAGACAACGGGGAGCCCCTGCTCAGACAGACACGGGGAGCATCTGCTCAGACACGGGGAGCCCCTGCTCTGACAGACACGGGGAGCCCCTGCTCAGACAGACACAGGAGCACCTGCTCAGACAGACACGGGGAGCCCTGCTCAGACACACGGGGAGCCCTGCTCAGACAGACACGGGGAGCACCTGCTCAGACACGGGGAGCACCTGCTCAGACACGGGGAGCCCCTGCTCAGACACACACGGGGAGCACCTGCTCAGACACGGGGAGCACCTGCTCCGACAGACACGGGGAGCCCCTGCTCAGACACGGGGAGCACCTGCTCAGACACGGGGAGCCCCTGCTCAGACACACGGGGAGCCCCTGCTCCGACAGACACGGGGAGCCCCTGCTCAGACAGACACGGGGAGCATCTGCTCAGACACGGGGAGCCCCTGCTCTGACAGACACGGGGAGCCCCTGCTCAGACAGACACAGGAGCACCTGCTCAGACAGACACGGGGAGCCCCTGCTCAGACACACGGGAGCCCCTGCTCAGACAGACACGGGGAGCACCTGCTCAGACACGGGGAGCACCTGCTCAGACACGGGGAGCCCCTGCTCAGACACACGGGGAGCACCTGCTCAGACACGGGGAGCACCTGCTCCGACAGACACGGGGAGCCCCTGCTCCGACACGGGGAGCACCTGCTCAGACACTCGGGGAGCCCCTGCTCCGACAGACACGGGGAGCACCTGCTCAGACAGACACGGGGAGCACCTGCTCAGACACACGGGGAGCCCCTGCTCCGACAGACACGGGAAGCACCTGCTCAGACACACGGGGAGCCCCTGCTCAGACAGACACGGGGAGCCCCTGCTCAGACAGACACGGGGAGCCCCTGCTCAGACAGACACGGGGAGCACCTGCTCAGACAGACACGGGGAGCCCCTGCTCAGACACACGGGGAGCACCTGCTCAGACAGACACGGGGAGCCCCTGCTCAGACACGGGGAGCACCTGCTCCGACAGACACGGGGAGCACCTGCTCAGACACACGGGGAGCCCCTGCTCTGACAGACACGGGGAGCCCCTGCTCAGACAGACACGGGGAGCACCTGCTCAGACAGACACGGGGAGCACCTGCTCAGACAGACACGGGGAGCCCCTGCTCAGACAGACACGGGGAGCCCCTGCTCAGACACGGGGAGCACCTGTTCAGACAGACACGGGGAGCACCTGCTCAGACAGACACGGGGAGCACCTGCTCAGACACGGGGAGCACCTGCTCAGACACACGGGGAGCAGCACTGAGGTTGAGAGCTCAGCCATGTCCAGCACCATGCACAGCGCATGCTCCCCTGCCACATCTCAGAGAAGCAGCATCTGCTGTGCACGGGGATTGGCCATGCCCCTGGGTCCAGCTGCGGACCACTGTGCGGCCCATGCCACGTCTCCCGCGGGCCTTTGGAGCGAGCCGGGCAGACAGGCAGCCACGGCAGCATTCGGGCCAGGAGGCAGGAGAGCAGCCGCCTTCTTGTCTGGAGCCAGGATGCCGACGGGGGAGGGGATGCCAACTGGGGGAGGGGGCGGGGGGAGCAGGATGCCAGCAAGTCGGGACCATGGGGCCAGGCAGCCTATAGGGGAGCTGAGGCCCTGCCACAGAGAATGAGCTGCCTATTCCAGGCCCCAGAGCCACCGGCCACACACACACACACACACACACACACACAGATACACATGTGTCCACACAAACATATTTATGCACATGCACGCACACAAATACACGGTTTACACACATGTGCACCCACAAACAAATACACACAAACACGCACACACAAATGGCAGGAGTCCTGCTCGAGGCCCCACCCAGCGGGACACTGAGGTCACGGCCACAGAGAGCCAGGGAGCCTCCTCCTGATCCAGCTGCTGACCCAGCGCTCAGCGGCTCCACCGGGGCATCCGGCCAATCGCCCGGGGCCTGACAGGCAAACCCGGGGCCTCCCTGCCGGGCAGCTTTGGGGCAGCTTCCGGGCAGGCCTCAGGCACCGGCTGCTCCCGGCCCTGCCGGGTCCTGGGGGGGATGCCCATTGGGCACACACGCTCTCTCCCCGGCTCAGCCAGCTGCCACGCGGCTGCTCATAGTCCCCACGGAAACCAACGTGAAAGGAACAGACCAACAGCCAAGCTGAGCCGGTACCCCAAGCTGCAGTACCAGGAAGCCCCACTAGGTGTCAGAATGGAACCGCCACCTCCTGGGTCCAGACCTCATCCCTCCTGCAGGGACCGGAGGCGCGTCCCTCTGACCAGGGTGACCCCAGACGCACCCCTCTGCTCCAGAGCAGCACCCCCCGATTCCCAGGAAAGCGGGGTCGAGGGGTCGAGGCCGGGGTTCCCGGACGGGGAAGGGTCCTTGCAGACCCCGGTGAGCACACGGCCTGAGCTCTCGGGCCGGCGCTGTTGGGTCGCGGTCCCAGGATGCGGGCGCCGGCCCTCGCCGCGTCCTGACGCCCTGGCGGCCTCGGTGGGCAAGAGCGTGCTGGGCCTTTCGGGCAGGGGCCGCCTGCCCCGGCCGGGCCGGAGCACCCCTCACCCCGAGGAGACGGCCCAGGAAGCGGGTGGCGTGAGAGGCTGTGGGGCCCGGGCACGCGGAGGACGACGTCGCCGTGGCAACGCCGCCCCAGAGCGGGGACGCGGGCCGGGAGCCCAGGCGGCCTTACCCGTTCTCCAGGGTCGCCCACTTGGCCGGTGGGGCCCATCGTCCCGGGAGGTCCTGGGAGGCCCTGGAATCAGAAATAAATTCAGAGCGGAGCTCAGCCCGAGGTGGGCGTGAGGCGGCGAGCCTTCTCCCCGTCAGGGGTCTGAGGGGTCCCCGGTGGCCCCCTCCACCTCCCGCTTGTCATGGGAACAAAAGGGGACACTCACCGCGGGGCCTTCGGGGCCTGGGGGCCCCTCCAAGAGCATGCCCTGGAAGAGAGGGGCGGGGCGCTGAGACGGGAGCCCGGCCCTCAGGCCCTGCGGACCCTGGCAACCCCGGACCCTGACTCCCCCAGACCCTGATCCCCCACGAACCCTGGCCCCCCATGACCCTGATACCCCCCGGACCCTGGCCCCCCCGGACCCTGGCCCCCACAGACCCTGGCCCCCCCGGACCCTGGCCCCTACAGACCCTGGCCCCCCCGGACCCTGGCCCCCCCGGACCAGAGAGACCAGGATGAGAACATGTGCTTACGGGTTCGATGATGGCGGGCTCTCCCTTTTGCCCTTTCTCGCCCCGCGGCCCGTCGATCTGGGGTGAGAAGGAGGGGGCAGGAGGGCGGAGGGGACAGTGACTCCGTGATCACGCTGCCCCCCCCCCGTCCCGCCCGGAGGCCCCTGAAGGCCGCTGCTCACCCCCTCGAAGATGGTGTCCTGGTTGGCGGGCATGCCCGGCCCGATCTCGGACGGGGACACGGTGGGGTCGTAGTACGGGTCGTAGTAGCTCTCGTTCTCGTCCAGGTTCTTGATGGTCTCCTCCGTGAAGTCCGCGTCCAGGTCCTCCTTCCCCTCCCCCGGGGGCGGGGCCGGCTGGGGGCAGAGGCGGCGTCAGGGGCGCAGAGAGGGCCGCCCGCTGGGCTGCGGCCTCGGTCTGGGGCTCGGCGGCCCCCAGGCCTGCAGCCTGACTCCCAGGGCAGCTGCCGGGTGCCAGGGTCTCTCTGCACCCCCTCACTCTCACCGCGCCCCGGCCCCTCGGCCGTGCCTGGGGAAGCGGTCCCTCAGGGCGCAGCCCCGGGCCTCAGGGTCGTGGGATAACATGACCCTAACCCCACGCCAGGAGGACAGCGTGTCCACTCCGTGGCCGCCGAGAACGTGGCCGGCTAACTGCCACGCGCCCAACACAGAAGCCACCCTTGGGTCTGTAGCCGCTCACAGCACACAAAGGGTTAAGTTTCTATGAGGGGGCGCTGTGCTGGTCCCTCCCCCCAAAAGCTGGGCGACTGAGGACACAGATCCGTCATCCCGCCCCCCCGGCCACGGCCCAGGAGCAGCCACCTCACGTGGTGTCCAGGTCCCCGGCTCCAGCCCCCGTCCAGCCGGACCGCCCGGCCACAGCCCGGCCACGGGGGTCTGCGCGCCCTCCTCGCCCCCCTCGCCTGCACCGGACGCCAGTGACCCGCGCTCCCCCCGCCCGGTGTCCGCAGGGAGAGGCCGAGCCGGGAGCCCGCCCGCCGAGCCGGGGGAGGCCATTACGTTGGAGGCGTTGGCGGTGCCGGCCGCATCGGGCGGCGCCTCGGCGCCCGGGCCCTCGCCGTAGCTGTCCTCGTACGGGGCTGGTGTGTAGTAGTCCTCGCTGGGCACGTAGTCGTAGTCCGGCGGGTCCAGGTCCTCCTTCCCGGCCCCCGCGCTGGCATCGGGCACAGCCGGGGCCCCCGTGGGGGGCAGAGTCAGCTCCTGGGGGGCGGGGAGGCAGGGCTGGGCCTTGGGGTCCCTCCGCCCGTCCAGCCAGGACCCCGTGGGCCCGGGAGGAGGCAGCCCAGCCAGGGGGATGCTGGGAACGGAGCCCACACGTGGGAAGGGGGAGCTGTATCCCAGACACTGGTCTTAGGGGTAAGAGGGCGTGCCCCGGCTGGTGTGGCTCGGTGGATGGAGCGCCAGACTGAGGACCAAAGGGTCTCGGGTTCAATTCCCGGCCAAGGGCATGTCCCTTGGGTGCAGGCCTGATCCCCAGCCCCAGGCACGGGCGTGCAGGAGGCAACTCATCGATGTGTGTCTCGCACATCAATGTTTCTCTCTGCCTCTCCCTCCCTCTTGCGCTCTCTCTAAAAATCAACGGGAAATACCCTTGGGGGAGGATTTACTTTAAAAAGTGAGAGACGGTTCCAGACAGAACAGGATAAGCCGGGCTCCCAGCACCTTGGGGAGGGACAGCGCCCCCTCACCCCTCAGCCCCTGAGGTCACACATCACCACCGACACCCTCTCCCGGCCCGCATCCCATGGGGCCGCGCCTCCACCCCCGCCTCCTGGGCGGCCCCAGCCACTCCACAGCTTCCCCCGCCCCGCGCCGCCCCTGCCCGGCCGCCCCTGCCCGGCCGCCCCTGCCCGGCCGCCCGCACCTCGGGGACCTCCGTGGTCTCCTTGGCGGCCTCCGCAGGCGCCGTGGTGGCGGCGGGCGCCTGGCTGGGGCCGTCGGTGTCCTCGTAGTAGGGGTACTCGTAGTAGTAGGGCGCGCTGTCCCCGTCGCCGTCCGGGTACTGGGAGGAGACAGCTCGTGAGGACCAGACCCTGCGCTGCACACCGGGCGCGGCGGGAGGCGTGGACTCCAGCCGCCGTGTCCCCCGCCGGGCACCCCCCTCCAGCCGGGGCAGCTGAGCCGCCCCCAGAGGTCCGGGGCGGACACGGCCGGTCCCCTTCGAAGAAAAGGGAGTGCGAGAGGCCCAGCCGCTCTGACCTTTAGAGCCCGAGGGTCAGCCAACCGGCCCGACCCCGGCTCGGTCCTGGCCACCGGCCACCGGCCACCGGCCACCGGCGCCGCGAGGCCCCGCCCCAGGACGTGTGCACGCCCGGACCAGGAGGCTGGCGCTGGGCTCGCTGGGAGCGCCGCCCAGCTGTGGGGGAGGGTAAGACGGGCTGGGCACCTGCGGCCTCCGGGCCACGTCTCGTCTGTGGGACCGAGGGGGCGGGGGAGCCGGAGAGCGGGATGGGTGCTAGTAAAGAGAAGGGCGTGGAGCTAGCAGCGCAGGATTCTCGCTGCAGCCGGGGAGGAACTGCCAGAAACGTTAGCCAGGCGCTGCCGGGCCGAGAGGCAGGAGTGAAAGCCGGACCCCAGACCAGAGGTCACGGGAGGGGACGGAGCTCAGAACACACTCCTGAGGCCCTCGGGACCAGGCTGCTCCCGGGCGCAGCCACACTGGGTCCGAGGGCCCATCGTTCACAACAAGCGGCCCTCGGCGCTCCGCGGACTCCACCCAGGGCTCCTGCAGCACATGCCCGGGCCACTGACCGCCCCCCCGCCCGGGCCACTGACCCCCCGCCCGGGCCACACCCCCCCTGCCGGGCCACTGACCGCCCCCCTGCCCGGGCCACTGACCCCCCCGCCCGGGCCACTGACCGCCCCGCTGCCCGGGCCACACACCCCCTGCCCCGGCCCACTGACCGCCCTGCCCGGGCCACACCCCCCCCGCCCGGGCCACTGACCACCCTGCCCGGGCCACTGACCGCCCCCCTGCCCCGGCCCACTGACCGCCCTGCCCGGGCCACACCCCCCCCACCCGGGCCACTGACCGCCCACCCGGGCCACAGACCATCGCCCGGCCCACTGCTCCCCGCCAGCCCAGCTGCTGACTCACGTATTCGTCCGGGTTGGGGTCCTGGGACTGGGGGGTGTCGGGGACGGCGGTGTCGCAGTCGGGGCTGTAGTGCTCGCAGTAATCGTACGCCGCCCGGTGGTCCGAGACGAAGAGCAGCTGCTGGATGTCGCCCTGGAAAAGGACAAGAGCCCTGAACGCGCAGCTCAGGGGCCCCAGCTGGGACCCAGCCCGTCCTCAGCCAGCCTTCCTCTGGGAGCTGCTGCCTCCCAACCACCCCACCAGGCTATCTGCCCACCTGTCCATCGTTATCCGTCCATCCACCCAAGAAGCCACCAACACACCCAATATCCACCCACCGCCCATCATCCATCCATCACCCACTATCCATCCATCCACCATCCACCATCCACCATCCATCCATCATCCATCCATCACCCACTATCCATCCATCCACCATCCACCATCCACCATCCACCATCCATCCATCACCCACTATCCATCCATCCACCATCCACCATCCACCATCCACCATCCATCCATCACCCACTATCCATCCATCCACCATCCACCATCCATCCATCATCCATCCATCACACACTATTCATCCATCCACCATCCACCATCCATCCACCATCCACCATCCACCATCCATCCACCATCCACCATCCATCATCCATCCACCATCCATCATCCATCATCCATCCACCATCCACTATCCATTATCTATCCACCATCATCCACCATCCATCCACCATCCATCCACCATCCATCCATCCACCATCCATCCATCCATCCATCCATCCATCTACCATCCATCCATATATCCCTCCCTCCCCAGTAGCAATCAGTAGCAATCCTGAGCATCTCCCAAATGCTAGCCGCTGCATCGCACACAGGGGCACAGCCATGCCCAGAGCCGCACTGCCTGGTGGCCCCACTCCCCCTAACATCTCAGCAGGCCTTCCCTGAGGCCCCTCCAGCCAGGCCGCCCCCTCTGGTCGGAGGCTCGGCGGCTCCCGTGCCTGTGCCCCCTCCCACTCCGCTGGGTCCAGCCACAGCCGGGAGGGCAGTGCCATGAGCTCGGCCGGAGGAGGGAGGCACTGCCCGTCAGACCACAGGCCCAGCCAGGCGCCGGCCCTCCCGCCTCTCCGTGGTGGAGGTGTGCGCGCCCTGCTCTGTGCCAGGAAGGCAGAGCGCCCAGGAGGGCCGGAGCGGCCTCCATCCTGTCACTAAGCCTGGTCCCCCGACGGCCCGGGGGTGGGGCCAGGCGCCGGTGTGCACCGCTCTCACGGGTCTGCACCCTCCCGGTGCCCACACGGCCCGGGCCGGGTGACTCGATGGCAGAACGGAGTCACGTCCTAGAGTCAGACTGGACCCCTCAGCACCTGATCCCGGAGGCACGAGGCCCAGCCCTCCCCTCCCCTTCCTCCCTTTCCCCCGCTCCTCTCCCCTCCCCTCCTTTCTCCCTTCCCCTCCCTCCCCTCCCCTCCCCTTCCCTCCCCTCTTCTCCCTTCCCCTCCCCTCCCTTCTCCCTTCCCCTCCCCTCCCCTCCCCTCCCCTCCCCTTCCCTCCCTTCCCCTCCCCTCTTCTCCCTTCCCCTCCCCTCCCTTCTCCCTTCCCTCCCCTCCCCTCCCCTCCTCCCCTCCCTTCTCCCTTCCCCTCCCCTGCCCTCCTCCCCTCCCTTCTCCCTTCCCCTCCCCTCCCCTCCCCTCCCCTTCCCTCCCTTCCCCTCCCCTCTTTTCCCTTTCCCTCCCCTCCCTTCTCCCTTCCCCTCCCCTCCCCTCCTCCCCTCCCTTCTCCCCTTCCCCTCCCCTCCCCTCCCCTTCCTTCCCTTCCCCTCCCCTCTTTTCCCTTTCCCTCCCCTCCCTTCTCCCTTCCCCTCCCCTCCCCTCCTCCCCTCCCTTCTCCCTTCCCCTCCCCTGCCCTCCCTCCCCTCCTGCCAGATGTCCGGCTCCTGGCTCACAGTGTAAACTCTCAGCAGAGGAGAACTGGCGAAAGGAACAGTGAATCAAAACCACACATTTTATGAAGCATCAGGACTTCTAGCTCAGATCCCTTCCAACCCAAACAAAACATCCGCCTGCCAGGAACCGTGCTCTCACCGCAGTCACCGGAGGCCAGGCCCTCGGCGGCCCTCGAGGGAGCAGCTGCCTGGAGAGGGGCCTGCAGGCGCCCCGCCCACCAGGGCGTCCCCGTGCCCGGGCGCCACCTCAGGAGCACAGGCCTGATCCTACCTCTAATCCCTCACTCAGCTCTAATGCCCACCCCGTGGTGCCCGCTGTGCCCAGCCCCTGGCTCTGACCACGCCAGCTTCTCCTTTCATACACACTTCCTTCCTGGCCAGGTCAGTAGGCGCGGCTGAGCCCTAGAAGCTTGAGCCAGCCCGCTCTGCTGCCAGCCTCGATGCCAGGGCAGCCCCCGCGCCCGTCTCTGGGGCACCAGCTGCCGGCCCCCGGGATGCATGCGTCTGCGGCCACGCTGCTCCGGGAGCATTTTGCTGCGGGATCGGCGCTGCCTTTTCCGACCCTGAGGCCGCACCCACGATCCGCTGTGAGTGGGCGGGGCGGCCACAGAGCCACGCAGGGAGCTCTGCCACCGGGGCCGTGGGCACAGAGCATGGACGTCCGTTTGCCAACCCGGCCGACCCCGCCTTCCCAGCCTGGCTGTCCGTGCCGCCCTCCGCACCCCTCCCTGCACCCCAGCTCTGCACTCCGCGCCCTGCACCCCAGCTCTGCACTCCGCGCCCTGCACCCCAGCTCTGCACTCCGCGCCCTGCACCCCAGCTCTGCACTCCGCGCCCTGCACCCCAGCTCTGCACTCCGCGCCCTGCACCCCAGCTCTGCACTCCGCGCCCTGCACCCCAGCTCTGCACTCCGCGCCCTGCACCCCAGCTCTGCACTCCGCGCCCAGCACCCCAGCTCTGCACTCCGCGCCCTGCACCCCAGCTCTGCACTCCGCGCCCTGCACCCCAGCTCTGCACTCCCCTCCTGGCCACACCCCGGCCCCCGGCCTCTCCGCCCAGCAGGCCGGGCCCGCGCGGCTTTCCCGCGATTTGACAGCTGATTTTCGCTGCAGCGCTTCCCGCGCAGGAGGGAACCCAGACGCAGCCCCCGACGGAGGTCAGCCTGCGGATCAGCCCGGCCGCACGTGTGCGGGGACCGGGACAGAGGGGGCCAGCACACCGGGCTCCATCGCCACCAAGGGAAGCTGAGAGTCTCCCAGGATGGGGGGGGGGGGTAGCAGAGGGGGCCACGCCGGGGGCGGGGGCTGCGGGGACAGGAGCCGGGGCCGCACGGCCTTCACACGTGACCGGCCGCGATCCCTGCCCGGCCGGTGTGGCCGAGCTCCTCGCCCTGACGGCGGCCGGATGTCCTCGCCGAGAGTCACCCGCCAGCGCCAGGCCATTCTGTCCACGGCTGTGGGGGGCGCGGGGTCGGGACCAGCCTGACACCGTGAACGTGAGAGCAAAGGAGGAACTGCCTATGCCCCGCCCCCTCTCTCCTGCCCCTCCAGCCCGCCCCTCTCTCCTGCCCCCCACAAGCCCCGTCCCCTCTCTCCTGCTCCCCACAAGCCCCGTCCCCTCTCTCCTGCTCCCCAGCCCGTCCTCTCTCTCCTGCCCCCCTCCAGCCCTGTCCCCTCTCTCCTGCCCCCCAGCCCCGTCCCCTCTCTCCTGCCCCACCAGCCCTGTCCCCTCTCTCCTGCCCCCCAGCCCGTCCCCTCTCTCCTGCCCCCCCAGCCCCGTCCCCTCTCTCCTGCCCCTCCAGCCCTGTCCCCTCTCTCCTGCCCCCCAGCCCCGTCCCCTCTCTCCTGCCCCTCCAGCCCTGTCCCCTCTCTCCTGCCCCCCAGCCCGTCCCCTCTCTCCTGCCCCCCCCAGCCCCGTCCCCTCTCTCCTGCCCCCCAGCCCGTCCCCTCTCTCCTGCCCCCCAGCCCGTCCTCTCTCTCCTGCCCCCCTCCAGCCCTGTCCCCTCTCTCCTGCCCCCCAGCCCTGTCCCCTCTCTCCTGCCCCCCAGCCCCTCCCCTCTCTCCTGCCCCCCAGCCCTGTCCCCTCTCTCCTGCCCCCGAGCCCGTCCCCTCTCACCTGCCCCTCCAGCTGCCGCCCCCGGGGCCTGGGCCTGGGCCTGGCCACTCACACCTGCGCTGGTGCAGCTATAAATGCCACACGAGAGGTTCCGTGGGGACCGGGGGCCAAGGGTGCAGGGATGGGTGGGGGGTGGCCACGTCCCAGCCTCATGGGACCCTGAGTGGCTGGAGGGACTGAAGGGCCAGCCTAGTGAGCTGGGAGGGGCACTGCGTCCCCACGCCCCGGGGCGGGCTGCAGGGCCAGCGTCAGGGCCTCCTCCTCCACAGCCCACCAGGCCTTACAACGGGTCTCAGCCCCGTTCCCGCCACTGTGCCGCCCCGGACAGCGGGATGCCCGGCCCAGCCAGGCACTCGGCGGCCTGGGCACTCAGAGGACCACATACTCGGAGGCCCGCACATTCAGAGGTCACCACCACCATCACCATTACCACCGTCACCTGACAAAGACTCACCATCCCCACCCCAGCCCCCCACACACACACACGCACACACACACACGCACACACACATGCACACACGCACACACGCACACACACACGCACACACGCACACACACACACACACACGCACACGCACACGCACACACGCACGCACACGCACGCACACACACGCGCGCGCACACACACACGCGCGCACACGCACGCACACACGCACGCACACACGCACGCACACACGCACACATGCACACACGCACACACGCACGCACACACACGCACACACGCACACACACGCACACACGCAACACGCAGCAACCTACGACACACACGCACACATGCACACACGCACACACGCACGCACACACACGCACACATGCACACACGCACACACGCACGCACACACACACACGCACGCACACACGCACACACACACACACACGCCGCACACACGCACACACGAAACGCACGACAACACGCACAACCGCACGCACACGCACGCACACACCACGCGCGCGCACGCACACGCGCGCGCACACGCACGCACACACGCACACACACACACACGCACACACGCACACATGCACACACACTCACACACACGCACACACACACGCACACATGCACACACGCACGCACACACGCACACACACACGCGCGCACACGCACACACACACACACGCACACACGCACGCACACACGCACACACGCACACGCACGCACACACGCACACACGCACACACGAAGGCCGCCATCTCGGCTGCTCATTCTTTCACTCGTTCCCCAGCACGCGCGGCCCCCGTGCTGAGCCTCACGGACGCGGGCGAGCACGTCCGAGTTCCTGACCTCAGGTCTCAGCCCGCGGCCCCTCCTCCGGCAGCAGCCCCAGCGAGCGGGCGGCTGGCTGCCTGGGGAGGCCCCCGCACTGGCTCCTCACCCCCCGAACACCCGGGGGCCGTGACTGTCCCTCTCACAGACGGGACCCTGAGTCTGACAGGCCGGGAGCGGCCAGGCCGGTCCCGCCCGCCCGGCCTCGGCGGCCGCCGTCGCAGCAGGTCCTTCCCGTCTGTGCTCGTGGGAAAACGCTCTCCTGGCTCAGGGGAGCCGTATCTGCGTCAGGACCTAATGTTTTAAACACTCGATAAAGCTGTTTCCTGGCTCTCAGTTAAAGGCACAGTCACACACAGGCCTGGCCATCACAGGCTGACCCGCCCCCGACTCCACTCGGAAACAGGCGGGGGCAGCCGCGCCCGGCCCCGGAGCTGAGTGGTGCCCGCGCCAAGCCGCACGGTGAACCCAGGCAGGCTCCGCCCCCGCCCCCGCCCCCGCCCCGCCCCCGCCCCCCGCCACGGCCACGGCCACGGCCACCGCCTCCGCCCCCGCCTCCGCCACGGCCACGGCCACCGCCCCCGCCCCCGCCACCGCCCCCGCCCCCGCCCCCGCCCCCGCCCCCGCCTCCGCCACCGCCCCCGCCCCCGCCCCCGCCCCCGCCCCCCGCCCCCGCCCCCGCCCCCGCCACCGCCACCGCCATCGCGTGGGCGGCATTCCTGGTCCCTGTTCACTGCGGAGAGCCCTGAGGTTCACCCCGCTTCCCGCTCCTCCCCCAGCCAGGTCTGCGCCAGCCCCGCTCCCAGGACGCCAGCCACCACAGCGCGCCCCGAGGGTGTGTCTGCGTAATTGCAAAAGTGGACACGGCCAGCGGGGTCCAGGCGCCAGCCCCCTGTCGCCCCGCTGACCCCGTCTCCACCAGGGGTGGCTGCTCGGACCCCTTCCTGGGTGTCCACGCCTCCCCCACCTGACGCTCTGGGTGCCAAGGACAGCCCATCGCCGGTCAGCGTGCTGTCCCAGGAGGGCAGTGCGGGGGCTGCCCTCACCCTCTCAGTGCCCGGGACACCGCTGGCTCAGAGCCCGTCTGAGCCGGGCCGCACGTTTTCCCAAAGCCCCACGCAGGCCGAACTCTACCCCACGTCCACCCACAGCGGCTGCCCCGTCCCAGGCCGGCCGCGGTGTGAGAGGCAGTGTCCCCTCCACGCCGGTCCTTGGCAGACCCGGGTACCGAACCCCCTGGACGAGGGTGGCCTCCATGGTCCTCACGGGGCCTCTGCACCCCCACAAGCCACACACTCATCGGGATGGCGGCAGGGGCTTCAGAGCCACAGAAGCCACGGCCACGGTGACACCGACGCGTCCACGCCCACCCACCGAGGACACCGACACGTCCACACCCACCCACAGAGGACACCGACACGTCCATGTCCACCCACGCCAGACACCAACGTGTCCACGCCCATCCACACCGGACACCGACGCATCCACGCCCATCCACACCGGACACCGACGCGTCCATGTCCACCCACGCCAGACACCAACGTGTCCACGCCCATCCACGGGGGACACCGATGCATCCACACCACACCCACGCAGGACACCGACGCGTCCATGCCCATCCACGCCGGACACTGACACGTCCACACCCACCCACGCCGGACACCGATGCGTCCTTGCCCATCCATGGCGGACGCCCGCCGTCCCGGCCAGCAGCGCCTCCGAGCAGCGCCCGCCCCCGCGGCCGCCCGCTCACCTCGAACACGTCCTCGTCCAGGATGCGGGTGCCGAACACGATGATGCCGTTGGTGTCCACCACGGGGTGGTCGCTGCGGTCCAGGAACTTGGTGGCCTTCTTCTTGCAGTCCAGGAGCAGGGTCACGTTTTTCTTGTGGACGCTGAGCGCGATCCTGTGCCACCTGCAGGGGCGCGGACAGCGGTGGGTGGAGGCGGCGCGGTCACGGGCGCCAGTGCCGGGGGCTCAGCGCAGGTCACAGGGACACGGGGGGACACTGAGAGGAAGTCCCTCTCCCTGCGCTCGGACCCCGGCCACGCCATGCACCCCCACGACACGCCCTCCGCCCCGACGCCTCCGATTCCTCGTCTCTCAGGCGGGTCACCGTCTGAGCCCAGAGTGCATGGCGAAGCCCTGAGAGCAGGCTCTGGAGCCCTCGTGGGCTGGCCGGTGGGCCACGGGCCGGGACACAGGCGGGACAGCCTGGGGGGCCGCCTGAACCCCACCAGAGGGCAGGCTCCGGGGAGGGGAGCTCGGTGGGGAACCCTGGCCCGGGGACCCACACGGCACTCTCCGGCGTGGCAGAAGGCCTTCCTTGCATGTGGCGTCCTCCGGGCCAGCCACCAGGGAGGCCACGGCCACGCCGCCGGGCCTGGGTGTGCCCACGGAACCCGGGACGGTCTGCCTGGGTTTCCTGGTTCCGTCCCACACCCGGTGCACCTGTGCCGCCAGGGCCCCGAATCCTCGGGGGGACACGTGGGCACAGCCGCTCGACCTCCCCGCGTCCCTCCCGAACGGAGGGCTGGTGTGTGCCCGGCGCCCGGGGGAGACGGGGGCCCAGGGAGCAGGGCCGGGACCAGCTCTGGGTGCTCCCCGCCGGTGCTCCCCGCCGGTGCTCCCCGCCAGTGCTCCCCGCCGGTGCTCCCCGCCGGTGCTCCCCGGGGGCCCTCCGCCCGCTGCTGTAGCACAGCCTGTGGGGCGCCCCACCTGCCCGCGGGCCCGGGGCTGCCAGACGCTCCCGGGGCCTGGGGGCCGAGGGCGCCCACTCACTTGCCGTCGGACAGGTTGATGCCGCGGAAGAGGGGGTAGTCCTCGGGGCCCGGCCGCCCCGTGTGGTCCTCGTACAGGAAGACGGGGGAGCGGCCCATCTCCAGGCCGAGCTGCTGGATGCCCTGCTCGTTGTACACGGACACCAGGAAGGCCTGGCTGCCCTTCTTGGCCTTCACGGTGGCGAGGATGGAGAAGTCCTCGGGGAACGCAGACGCTGGGGCAGAGGGCAGAGGGCAGAGGTCAGAGGGCCCAGCCACCTCCTACCAACCCGCTCAGGGACCTGGCACCCCGGCCGCCTGGCTCACACTGCTTCTGCAGCCCCGCCTGTCCCCACATGGCCACGCCCGGCCCCTTCGAGGCTCCGTTCAAGTGCAAAGCTACCGGGTCCTCCCAGCTGCGGGCTCCCCGCGGCCGGCCCGCCCGCCCCCACCCGGTAACACATCTGCATAGACATCCTAGCGGGGCCTGGGATGTGGGGGACCCCGGATGTGAGCGTCTGGGGGCAGTGCTGTCTCAGGGCCCCCGAGCCCTGTGCGCGCCCAGAGCTGGGCCAGCAGAGGGTGTTGTTCAGCGCCTGCGGGGGACCGAGGGCGGGCGGTAGTGGGGTCGGCTAGAATCGCACTTGTTGCCATGTCCTGGTTGACACGCAAAATAGAGAGAAGGTAGAAAGAAACCAAAACTTCCATCCAGATTGCAAAGAACCGAACACAGAAACAAAAGGAGGGACCTGCTGTGTCGGTGGCGGGAGGCTCCTACGGCCGGCCAGGCCCTCGAGGCCACCAAAGCCAGTCCCCTGCGGGCCTGCCCCGCTCCTCCAGACCTCTCGGCACGCACACAAGCACACACATGCGCTCGCACATGCATGCGTGCACCCCTTCCCTCCAGCCAGGTGCCCCTCGACTCTCCTGCCTGTGCACCCGCAGCTCTGCCGGGAGCCTGGTCCAGCAGCCAGAACCGTCCGGTCGGCACACTTCTCAACCCCCTGCGCGGGGAGGGGACACGCTCTGTGCTGTGAGGGCTGTGGGTCAGGCTTAGGGCCTGCAGGACAAGGTCACCCAGATGGCCGATGGCCAGCCCTGCAGGAAGCTGTCTGGGGCGCCCTCTGCTGGGGTAACGGCCACATAGTCGGGCAGCTAGCCTCTGCTCTGGTCACAGGAGCAGGGCGTGCAGGGTGCCAGGCTGGGGGGAGGGGACATCCAGGCGGCCTGAGACTTCACCTGCTGTGACCTCGCATCCCCTGGGACCAGGGTGGAGCGATCAGGCGAGGGCGAGGGCGAGGGCGAGGAGAGGGCGAGGGCGGGCACGGGGGCACCGCCGTTTCAGACACTAAAATCAACATCCCCTAACTCAGAGCAGGGTTTGGAGGGAAGGCAGAGGCGGGCTTCTCTGGATGCACAGAAACCAGACCCCGCAGTTCTCTGTGAGCTCAGCGAGCGGGCCTGACAGTGACCTCCGTCTGCACCGAGGGTCAGACAGTCCCTAGGCTGCATCCCGGACCCGGGGCCACTGGGGCGCCCCACGGGGGGCTCCCCAAGGGGCTCATGTCCCCGAGTGACCTCATCAACCAGAAATGGCTCCTTACAAAGCGCCGGCCGCCTGGACAGACCTGAGGGGGCGGAGGGAGGGGTACAGGCAGGGTGGGGGAGAGGGCGCGGAGGCCAAGGCGCAGCCCCTGAGGAGTGCGCCCCTCGGGGACCCAGCGGGGACGCGGGGCGTGCAGAGAGCCGTCACTGGTCAAAAGAGAGCCTGTGGCCAAAACCGGTGTGGCTCAGTGGATAGAGCGTCAGTCTGCCGACTGAAAGGTCCCGGGTTCGATTCCGGTCAAGGGCATGTACATTGGTTGCGGGCACATCCCCGGTAGGGGGTATGCAAGAGGCAGCTGGTCCATGTTTCTCTCTCATCGACGTTTCTAGCTCTCTATCTCTCTCCCTTCCTCTCTGTAAAAAAATCAACAAAATATATTTTAAAAAGAGAGAGAGAGAGAGAGAGAGAGCCTGTGGGGAGAGGGAGTATGTATGGGGGGGGCAGTGTAAAATATGTACACAGATAATAATTTAATAAAAATAAAAAAAAAGAGAGAGAGAGAGAGAGCCCGACTCTGGGTCAAGGCCATGTTCAAGCCACGAGAAGGCGGCCCAGCTGCTCACAATCACAGGGCACGTCCATGGCGGCCGCCTCAGCCCGGGCCCCGCCCTCCCGCCCTCCCAACGGGATCAGAGACGCGCTCCCTGGGGCCGGGAGGTTATGGCCCTCGGCCCCTCCTCCAGGTGAGCCGAGCCGCTCCTGACGCCGGGCGGTGGGAGCGGTGCCTCTACCACCATGGCTGATGCCAGGACAGCTCGGACAGGGTCTCGGCAGCTAACATCCCCTCCCCCCCCCCGCTCCGGGCAGGAATCAGCAGTCCGCTCTGTGCTCGGCCAGCGATCCTCGTTAGGAGATGGCTCTCAGCTGGGAGGTGTGATGTGTGATTCATGCATCTCTCGGGGTCACTGTCCCCCATTAAGCTTCTGTCTGGAAGTGCTGCCTTTCCCAGGACCCTGAGGCTTCCCTCCGCGACACCCCCCTCGCCCAGGCCCAGGAGCAGCCCCTCCATGCCCTCGGGCCTGGCATCAGGGAGGACGGACACCTGCTGGAGGGCAGGTCCTCCAGGCCACCGCCCCTTCGGGACAGCAAACCCGGCTGGTTCCCGGGGCTTCCCAGCATCCCGAGCGTGACCTCGCCGCTCCTGGACGAGGCGGGAGGGACGGGCTCACATAGACACACCCCGCGCCCCGCGCCCCGCGCCCCGCGCCTCACCGGGGTACAGCTGCTTGGTGGGCGCGCTGAGCTGGGCATCCTTCGTGACTCTGTAAGCCACGTCCGGGCCCCGGGAGGACCGCCGTGTGGAGCAGAAGCCTGTGGTCTTGGTTATGCCGTCGGGCAAGGTGTGGAAATCTAGAACCTTCAGGAGGTCGGCGGGCTGAGCTGGAAGGACAAAGGGGGGTTAGCCACAGGCGAGCAGAGCACCCGGGAGGGGAGAGCGGTGGCTGCACCCAAACCCACTCAGAGCCGCCCCGACGCCGGGGCCAAGTGGGGGGGGGGGCGCGGATCCCACTTTACAGATACCCCACCCCAGGCAGGCAGCTGGTTCTGTCCCAGGCCCGCACCCCAGCAGCCTCAGTGCCCACCTGACAGCCACTCCGTCCCAATCGGAACCAACACCGATCAGAACCAACACCACGTTCCCCCAAGTCCCAGTGCGGGGGCAGGGGGTGCAAGGGCCGGACACGCCAGCCTGGCTCCCAGACTCGGCCCCTCCCTCACCGGGAGGCGATCAGGCCGCTGCGGAGGGGGGTGGCGTGCGGGCACTCAGGCTGGACGGCGGACAGCACAGGGACCTCATGTGCAGCTGCCGCGTGCTGGGGCCTCGGTGTCTGCAGGCAGCGGGCCCCTCTGCTTCCCACCGGCACCTGATTCAAACGCCATTTCCCACAGCCGCTCACAGCGTGTCGGCTCCCACGGCCCCGGAGCCCCAGGCCTGCGTGCAGGATGGCGCGGAGCCATGGCGAGGAAGGAGCGGCCCCTGAGCCCACCGGGAGGCGCCGCCCTCACCCCGGCCACGGAGAGGGCGGGGACACTGGCGCCCACGGAAGCCACCCACACACAGACTGCACAGCTCGCCTCTCCCGCGCCCACACGAAAAGACGGCCTCCGTGCCGCCCCACACAAGCCAGCTTCACATGTTGAGTTCAGTCCCGTCACCACCCTCGCAAGGCCCCTCGGCGTCCCGGTGAGGAACTACACGCGGGCGTGGCATCACGGTGACGGGGCTCAGGGGCAGCCGGGGGGCCGCCTCCCGGGGCGCAGGGAGAGCCCGTCTGGGATGCAGAGACAGACTCCCACCAGCTTGTGTGGGCGCCTGGATCGAGCTGTTCCTGAAGAAGGCTCAGCTTATACCAGTTGGCATTCGATTTGACGCCTGCTAGGAAAAGGCTGGCGCCCTCTGCTCGTGCCTCTGTGCCCCTCGGGGCCTGGCCAGCTCACTGCCTCCTCCCCAGGGGGCTGTTACCGGCCTGGGGCCCACTCAGAGGGGAGCCCCCCCTTTTAACCAGGGCGGGCGACCGGAGGTGAGAAAGGACCCCCATGGGGGTCTCCCGTGGAGCTCAGCACAGCCATGGGTGGCCCTGTGTCCCCTCTGTTGTCCAGACAAGACAGACAGAGCCCTGTGCCCGGGAGGGCGGCCTGGGAGGGAGCAGTGCCCGGCCAGGGTGGCCAGTGCCGGCCCTGCGGAGGGCGCCATCCCCAACCACGACAGGCTGGGAGGGCGGGCCCACGCAGGGTGGGCGGGTCCGCGGTGACAGGTGGACGGGAGAGGGAGCTGCTCTTCCCGGGCACAAAGCACGGCCCAGGCGGTGGCCGCTCGCACCCCGCACCAGCCCCCGTCCCGAGGCCCCGCCTCCAGGGGAGCATTGCTACAGCCCAGCTCCGCGCAGTCGCCTGTCACCTCAGCAAGAGCCCGGAGCCCGGCCGTGTGGCTCAGCGGCTGAGCGTCAGCCTAGGAGCCGGGCGGGCCAGTGTGATTCCCGGTCAGGGCACAGGCCCGGGGGGTGGGCTCCGTCCCCAGGGTGGAGCGTGCAGGAGGCAGCCGATGGATCTGCCTCATCACTGATCTTCTCTCCCTCTCCCTCTCCCTTCCTCTCTGAAATAAACAAAATACATATTTAAAAAACTAAGAGAGACCAGAAGCACGGGACATGGATTTCCCAGCTCAGGAAGGAAATGCCCGGTAGGACAGAGGGAGGGGCAGTGTGGGGGCCGGCGCCCGGGGTCACCACCTCCCGCGGCCTCTGACCTTCCTGGGTGGTGCTCGGCTCGGACCCAGCGCCCAGCCCCCACGGAGGGGTGGTCCGTCCCTCGCACGGGGGTGGCACCGCCGAAGAGCTCGGCGCCAGGGACTCCTGCCCCGGCCGCCACCGGACACCAGAGCAGCGCTGGCGCAGGTGCCCGGCACGGCCCCAGGCCTGGCCTCGGCCGTGGGAAGAGACGGCCGTGCCAGCCGCTGGCTCACCTGCCGCCGGGACAGCCTGCCGAGCGCTGGCTCATCCCTGAGCCCGGCTCCCAGGCGGGCGGCCAGGGGGATCGGAGCGGCTGATGCTCTTCCCAGACGCCGTGTTCTCCGTCGCTGGCGGTTTACAGCCGCTCGCTGCCACCGCGAGTTGAAAAGGCCACGGACCTTTCCAGGCCCCGTGCCACCTGCTGGCCGGGGCGCCGGGCAGCCCTCGCCGTGTTTTCATGTTCATGTGGCAGGCGTCCGAGGAAGCGGGCGGGACAGGCCTCCTGGGCGTGCAGCCTCCCCGTCAGCCGTCTCTCGGCTCCGCCTGGACGGGCCCCCGGGGAACAGGCCCCGCCCGTGCCCACTGCCCAGAGCGGGCGGGAGGGACTCGGCCCGATGCCACGGCCCCGGTGACCTGCCCGCCGACGGGAAGCGCGGCCAGCGGGAAGGCGGGGAGGAGGCAGTGGGAAGGTAGCCGAGTTTGGGTACCAGGTGCCAGGAGGCAGCAGGAGGACTGAGAGGAAGGCGAGGGGGCCGCAGTGACACGGGGGAGCTCAAAGCAGACCGAGGGGCAGACCGGCCACGCGAGAGCCATCTCAGAGCCGTCGCACCATCTCACCCCCTCTCGGTCAGCTGCTGAACCGAGACCCGAGACCCATAGGACACGGGGTCCCTCTCACCAGCCCTGCCCTCACTTCCCGGCTGCGACCCCGCCGCCCAGCCCGGAGCACGGCCACTGTGGGCGATGGGACCCAGAGTGAACCCCAGGGGAGGACCCAGCCCACGCGGTGGCCCAGGGGCGTGGCACCGGCCCTGCCAGCAGGATGGCCCTCCGCAGCCAGCCTGCCGGGCCCTGGTGGGCAGCACCGCTGTCATCCCAGGAGCCGGGCTGGCTGCTGGGGGCTGGCTCTGGCCTCGGCACCCGGGGCAGCAGGTGGGGGCGGAACCTGCACTGGCTCCTGGGCATCGGCTCATGCCGGGCTTCAGGAAGCCCCTCCTCAGCGCTCAGAAGGAAAGATGGCGGGGCCAGGCCCCTCACAGGCTCAGCAGCCCCTTCCTTTGCCAGTGGGACCCCCGCCCCCAGGGCAGCACCCTCCTCCACAGACAGCGGGCAGCCCGCCTTCAGGAGGGGCCCGGGAGCGAAGTCAGACAAGCAGGGGGCGGGCCTGGGGTCACCACCGTGAGCTACCAGCACCCTGCCAGCCCCCTCCGGAGGGAACACCCAGGAAGGGGCTGCCCTGAGCAGGTGCTGATGCCAGCGGCTCCAGTCCCAGCCCTCCCCAGCCCAGAGCCTGGTGCCAGCAGCAGGGAGGGGCTTCAGACAAAGGACTTAGCCAGGACCCACAGACTGCCCTGCAGGTTTAATTATGCACCGCAGGGAGGGGGCGGGCCTTCCGTGTGGGCGGGGCTCAGACCCAGACTGCCCTATAGGGTTTCATTATTCACCCCAGGGAGGGGGCGGGGCTTCCGAGTGGGCGTGGCTCAGTCCCGGGGACGGTACCCAGGGCCCTGGCTCTGGATCTGACAGGCAGGGACAAGGGAATGAGGACTCGGTGGGGTTTCGCCTTGTAAATAAGCCCACCTGCCGCCCGGAGTGGGGAGCTGGGGGGGGGGGGTTGTGAGAAGCCTGAGAGTCTGGCTCAGCCCCCCTAGGGCGCACAGGGCCTGCCTGGCCCTGGGCCTGCACCCTCACTCTGCCTGCTCTCCTCTGCCTAAGGTCACACCCACCGGCCGCTGGTGAGGGTGCCCAACGCCCAGGCCCGTCCTGCCTGTGACAGTGTGCTGGCAGGGGGACCCCAGCCTGGGTCCGGGTTCGGGGTGGCGGCTCTTAAGAACCTGCCCTCTGAGCCTAGCTTCTCGCCAAATCGCCCCTGGTTGGTCATGGGTGCCCTCTGTCTGTCCTTAGGAAAACGGATGGCATGTATGTCCCTCTGCCCGTCATTCCTCACAGGGTCTGACCACAACAGGCCACGCGCAAACTTTAACCCTGCGGGCACAGAGGTGGCGAGGCGGTGGGGCGTGGGGCGGGGCACACACGCTGCCAGCAGGCGCCCGTCCAGGAGAAGCGCCCGCAGGTGGCTGGATCGGGCGGCTCGTCTGGGCTTCCTGGGGGTAATTTGCCTCCCCGTCTGAGGAAAGGGGAGGGGATGGCACCGGTGCCAGGCTCCGCACTGCGGTGGGCAGTGTGTGTGGCAGGCTCCGCCCCCGCCCGCTCCCGGAACCGGAGGCGCGGCTGCCAGAGCGCCGTGCAGGGGGGCGGCAGAGCGTGCTGGGGGTCTCAGGCTCCGGGGCCTGGCCCGTGGACTGGCAGCTTCCGTCAGGCTGCCCGGAGCGGGGCGCCCCCCTGCAGCTCCTCCCGAACGCCGGGGACAAGGGCCTCGGGAGAACGGCCACAGCGGGCGGCATTCCTCCGGCTGCACCTGCCGGCAGGGCCCTGGGCGCCAGCAGCCAGAAAGGGCGATGGCTGCTCGGGTTTTCTTCTTTGCGCTTCCCTGTGGCTTCCTGGCGGGCGTGTGCGCTTTCACAGTGAATCCGTGGAAAACCGCTGCCCGCTGAGTCTGGCCGGAGGTGGGATTATATAACCGCCCGGCCACTCAGGCGCCCGACACCCCGAGGCGGCCCCGGGCCACGGTCTCTGCTGGACAGTGGACACTGTGACCGGTCCGCGGGCAGCCGGACCCCGTGCCCGTCTCAGGAGCACCCCTGTCCCCAGCCCGGGTCTGACAGGGGCGCCCCCGCAGGGCCCCGTGGCCAGGCCACCCTTGCCCTTGGGACAGGAATGTGGGACGGGCCGATGTGTGTGCCCTCCGCCCTCCGCCCGGCCTGGGCGGCGCTGGCCTGGCGTCCTGTCGGGAGAGGCAGCTGAGGCTCAGGGGAAGCCGGCCCGGCGGCGGCTGGGCCCCTTAACCTTCCCAGAGTGGGTCGAAGGGTC